AAGCCACATGGGGAGGGGCGGACGTTCACCCAGAGACCCAGACCTTCCCTAGGCAGGTGTTCTAGGCCTGGCTCCCTTGAGCCCTTGGCCTCCAGGAGGCCACCTCATCCCCATGCTGGGGTCACTTCCAATATCTTCTGAAGCTGACACAGGCAGGGTGTACTGAGGGTCAGCAAGTTGGTCAGTACTGGTCAGGCTGAGGCCCACTGCACATGGGCCCCTTCTCTGTGCTGGCGGGGTCATCCTAGTCATGCCCCAGACTCTACCCCAGGCACCACTGATGTCAGTATGCTCAGAAGGAGGGCTCTGGACCGTGTGGGTTTGGCTTGAGTAGCTCCCTTGACCCTGAACCCTGACCTCCCACCCCTCCAGGCACCGCATGCCCCAGGAGCAGTGGTGGCTGAACCTGCGGCTGATGCTGAAGATGCTGGCACATTACCGCATCAGCATGGCTGACTACGTGTCCGGGGAGCTGGAGCACGTCACACGCCGCACTCTGAGCATGGACAAGGGCTTCTGAGAACGCCTGCCCGCTTCCTCCCCAGCCCCGAGGTGGGGCTCACACATCAGGCAAGGGGGGCTCACAGCCCAGCCTCCATCCCAGCCGCCCATCAGGCCTTCTGGCTGGCTGCCTCCAGGACAGAGCACACGGAGGCCCCACCTTCCTGCCCCTGTCACTGGCCTGCTGTCTGCTGGTGCTGGGGCCTGCAGGCTCCCCACAGGCCTCACTGACCTGCTCCTGTCCACCCCACCACCCTGGCTGAGCAGCACCTCACCTTTTCTACAAATAAAGTCACCTTGACTATGGCGGCTGGTCAGCCCCTGGAAAGCATGGCCCACAGACAGTTTAGGGGGAGTGGGCAGCACCTAGAGATGAGGCCTTACCATCTACTCCAGGCCCAGCTGGAGGGTGAGCCTCCCCAGGGCTACCAACATGACCTGAGCCTGTCCCCAGCCCTGCCTGCCCTGATGTCTACAGACCTGGGCTGCAGCCTCTGTCTTGGTCTGCAGAGGATTTCTGGGTTTGGAGTGGCCCCGCGCTTAAATTGAGGGGTTTCTAGACTCAGCCTGTGTGGGTCTCAGACTGGTGGGTGGTGGCTGATCTGAGCTGGAACTCATGGGGACATTACTGTGCTGGGCAAGCGGGGAGGGAAAGGAAGGGAAGTCCAGCCCATCCCCAGGCAGTTCTGAGAGGCAGCTCCTAGCCCACATCCTCAGTGAAGTCACTGGGGAAGGTGGGGGACTGGTCTTTTCCCTGCCCAGGTCAGCTCCTGCATTGGGGTGGCGGTGAGGCCATACACAGGGATATCCGTGGAGCTCCACTGACTGCATATACCATGTTTCAGTCACCTGTGGTGGGTGCGTACCATACGTGGGGGCTGCTTTTGCCTTCCAGGGTCAGCAGGCCATATGGGGGGGTCCCTGGGCAGGGGTCTCCTAGTGGGCCAGGGCTGATTGGGTGGCCCCAGGAATCAGATGAGGGCCTGGCTCAGGGCCCTTTGGCAGGGAGCCTTGGTCCCCCCACTCCTAACCAGGCCTGGTTAGGCTGGTCCTGCAGGGGGTCAAGTTAGCACTTCATTGTGTTGACCCTAGAGCCTGAGGCTTCCTGGCTGCTTGTTCTTGGAGCTGGGGTGGAGGAGCCACACCAGGGCTCCAGGCTGTTCTGCTTCCAGGAAGGTGGCAGTCCTAGGGACAAGTTGAGGAGTAAGTCCCCAGACTTCAGGCCTGGTCCCGAGAATCTGGCTGCCTGCATTTGTGCGTGGCTGTGTGTGTGTGTGCATGTGTGTTAGAGGGGCTTGAACCCCTTGGGGGAGACCCTGGTTGGTGTCAGATGTGCCTGGAACATGGGCAGGAACCACCTTGAGCTGTGGAACCATTTGCCCCTCTGACTCCCACAGGTCCACCCCAGACTCCTGCAGCGAGCCTAGGCCAGTTGCCCCAGCATCCCTGGATGCCTGGACCCCAGCAGCCCTAGCCCCATTGTATTCTCTGCACTGTCTCTTTGCCCCTCACCCTTGCTAGTCTACCAAGTATGAGTCTAGAGGTCAAACAAGACAACACCCCATCACCAAGAGCCCCAACTGCAAACCACTGGTGTGTAATCTCCAAAATCCCTGATGCCCTATTGTCCCCCCACTCTCTTACGGCTCAGGAGATAGGAAGGGAGCGCTGCCTGCCCTGGCTGACAACAGCCCAGGATGGCTCTGTGGGCAGCTCTCCACAGAGCCCTTGGAGGACGAACCACAGAAGGGCAGGACTGCCAAGGCTCGGTGCCCACATCCTCCCGGGAAGGCAGCCACAGCAGAGGTCTGGGGTGTGGGTGGCCAGAGGTCCAGTGCTTTCTCCTATCCTGTCGCCTGTGTGTTCTGTCGCACTATTTGAAGACTAGTTGTAGGCATAGCAAACACTGCCATTTTTGTGAGCTCTCTGGGTCTTGAGTCCCTGAGAAGGTCTCACAGTGGCAAGAGAAGCACGTACCAGAGCAGAGTGCCTGGTCCTGGGTGTTCAACCACAGTGTTTCTGAAATTCCCTCATACTGTGCCAGCCTGCTGGGGGCAAGGCATGGCGGGCTTATGGCACAGCATTGCTGGAGCCACCATCATGCCATGTCCACAGGGACTCATCACGTTAGGACAAAGTGGAAGAGCCCAGTCCTGCCTCCCTTGCATGCTCAAAGACCTAAATTCCAGATGTGGGAACCACTGGGGCCCTGTGCAGCACAGTGATCAAAGACCCAGCAATCTGCTGGGTGTGGTGACTCACCCTTGTAATGCTAGCTAGCTACTCTGGAGGCAGAAATTGGGAGGATCATGTTTCAAGGCCAGCCCAGGCAAAAGGTTCATGAGACTTCATCTCAACAAATAAAAGCTGGGCGTGGCGGCTCACCCCTGTTGTCACAGCTATGTGGGAAGCATAAATAGAAGGGTCATGATCCTGGATGGCCTGGCATAAACGTAAGACCTCACTTGAAAAATAATAAAAACAAAAAGGGCTGTGGGTGTGGCTCAAGTGGTAGAACATCTGCTCAGCAAGTGCATGGCCCTGAGTTTGAACCCCAGACCCAGTCATGCTGTGACATTGCCACATGGTGAGTCATCTCCTATGGTCCCATGATTCCTGCCAGATGTTCACCTGTCCATCCGAGGGGACCCGGGGACGGGGAGAGAGAAACCGTATCTGTCTGCTCCTTGTTAACGTTTTGCATGAAGGGCTGGTGGTGGGTAACTACATCACTGGCTTGAGTGAGACTCACAGGGCTGTTTTCCCCCAATCCTCTTGGCCTCCCGGTCCCCAGGAGGGGATAGCATTTGTGGGGCCTTCATCTGTCCTGAGGCTGAGCTCTGTGGCAGCCCACCCTCTCTGGCTACTGCTGTGCACACCTTTGTCACTTCCAGGGGATCAACATGACTGACAGGAAAAGTGGCTACTCAGGTTTGGAATGGGAACATTTGAGACCTGGCCTGGCTATGGAACTTGGGGCCCAAAGCAAAATGAACATGCAACCACTCCATTCAACAACTGCAAAGACTGTCAGGATGGTGACAACCTAGTGCTGCCCTGCACTTGGGCACCGTGTAGGGGTGTAGGTGCAGGACAGCAAATGTGTAGCCAAGGTCACTCATCCCTGAGTGCTACTCAGGGCCACTGTGGCCTCTGTTCCTCACCCAGATCAGGGAAGGGAACCCAGCAATTCAACATGCCCATTCCTCCTGGCTGGAGTTTCCTGAAGCCAAGGTCCCAGAGCTGCCCTGAGGGGGTCCTGAAACCCAAGGGCCTCTCCTCAGCACCCTGGAGGGGCCGCTCCTCCAAGCATGGGGTGGCAAGTCCCTTTGCTGCTTCTCCAGCTTTCCAACCGATCGGGCTTAGTCTCCACTGAGAGACACCTGGTGTCTCACAAAACCAGCACGAGTGCATCCGTGAGGATGACTGTCAGAACAAATGTCCTCACTCACCAGGGCTCTGGGACAAAAGCAGGATGTAGTTGACTATCTGGAAAAGTGCTTTCTGCTTCCTGCTCCTCTTGAAAGTCACTGCCTGAGAGGGTACCGAGCAACGCCGACCATGCCTACCCCAAGCCTGGCATGCCTACATACGGAGAACTGGGCACTGTGCTATGGGGGCACTAAAGGGCAGCGAGGATAGCACTAGTGGGTAAGGACCGTCACCTCCGCTAACACTGAACTGTGCAGCTCTGGTAGGGGCACCAGGCACCTGACAGCCAGATGCTGTCAGACCACTGCACCACGGCCCAGCTCCATTGGTGTGTGCCACACATCAGGGTCAGTGCTCAGTTCTCAGCATGAACCTCCTGGGTTGGTCCTGCCAGATTCAGTGTCTGGGACTGCTTAGCCGTACAGCTAGAGGCCACACCTGGCCCCAGACTAGCAGGGCTCCTCAAGTAGGGCCAGCACATCCTGTCTCCACCTCTACAGGGATCTTAAAGGGGGACAGAAAGAAAAGGGAAGGAGTGTCCAGTCCAGCCTTGCTTTAAGAAGAAATCATCCTTCACAGCAGTGGCCATGGTGTCTACTGAGGACATCGTCTCGAAGGTGCCATCATCCTGGGCACCTGGACAGAATTCTGCCCAATGACTAAGGGCTGTAGTGGGTAAGATCACTCCTGAACCTTCCCTCCAGAGCTGACAAACAGCATTTACCTTAAGGATGCTGAGGTTGTGCCTCCCACTGGACATCCAGACAGAAAGTGCTTTATTAGGGAGGACGGCCTTCCCTTAAAGAAGGGTCAGGTTGCCCCCAGACCTCGTGGCCTCAGCAGGTGCATCCCAGAGACAGTCCTGGTGGGCAGTGTCTCCTCTAGCCAACAGCACAGGAGCAGGGTCTGCCCAGCTGGTGCCTGACACCCCCCCTGCCCTGCTCTGGTGCAGGGAGCAGAGAAGGAGGATTTCTGGTGGGGCTGTGCTATCACAGGACAGTGCAGGGTCCAGGTGCTGGGGTGTGTGAAGGCCTTGGCCACGGCTGAGATGGTCACTCCATGTCCTGCAGCTCCTGCCTGTGCAGTGCCTGGAGCCGGCTGGCCACGGTCTGCTGGACAACCTCCAGTCCTTCTGTGTCCAGCTCCCGCAGCAGCAGTAAAATGGCTGTCAAGATATTCTGAGGGCAGAGAGGGTTTGAGTTGGAGCCCAGCCAGCAGCACCCTGGGTGGGAAATAGTCTTAGGGTAGGACCTTCCAGGCTGTCAACCAAGGAAGGTGACAACTTAACTCTGATACGTTACTTCCTCCGTCCTGACCCATGTAGCCCTTAGCCTGTGCCTTTGCTTCAGACGGTAAACTGAGTCATAGAGGCTGAGGGCCCAGACATCTCAGTGTGGTATGTATGCACCCACAGAGCCACCAGGGATGTGTCTGTGTTCCCAAGGAGCTGAGGGCATTTCTGCCAGGAAGATGAGGGAAGGTGTCTGCACAGAAGAGGACACAGGCGGCTGGAGGAACAGAGGCAGCTCTGTTATTCCAAAGGAAGAACGGGCCTATTGGTGAAGGACCTGCTCTGACCCCCGACCTTGGCAGCACTCCAAGGGCCTGCACACCCCTGGCTATTTGCATCCTTGCCAAGAGGCTCCACAGCAGACTGGAGAGGCTGGCCTCCTTTGCCTCTCTTTGGGGGCAGGTGTGCCTGTTTCAGGCAGCTGCAAGCTTGAGGCTGCCTATATGTGCCTGTGGACTGGCTGGCCTTCTGACCTACTGTCTCCCAGGTGTGGGCAGGGAGCCTGTGGGCTCAGACTTTCTCCTGGAATTGAACCTGCCAGCTCCTCAGGACATGTGGGAGAATGGGTGCACACTTGGAGGGTGGAGGAGGGAGTGAATCCTGGAGGACAGTGACCTAGAGGGGTGGGGCTCCAGCTGTTCAGAGGGGATGAGTGGAGCTGAGCCCAGGCACCTCAGCAGAGCTGACATCCTTCATCCCCCCAGCTCCCTAGCAAACTAGGTCATAGGCCTGGTTTGGGTGCTTCCCAACCATGCCTCAGTATGACCAAATCTGTTCACTGCTGGGGGTGGGGGATGCTTTCCCAGAGGGTGGCCAGCCCCCTCTGCAAAGGAGGGGCCTTGGCCTGTGGTTTTCTGCATCTCACAAACCACACACACTGTAAGTGGTAGCTGACTGAAGCATCCCTGGTCCATGATATCTGTGAGTACAAAGGAAGAGTGGGGCACTGATGGCTCTGCACAGGTCCAGCCAGGTCCTACAGGACTGATGGCAAGTGTGGCACTGAGGGCTGCCAGTCTTCTTCACAGGCCTGGCTCTGCTTGAGCAGCTCTGCCTCCCCCATGTCTGGGGTACAGGGCAGCATGAGGCCCTGGTCCTGAACCGAGCTCACTGCTGAGGACAGACTCAGACATAAGCACCTCTACAGATGAGCAGATTTTCTTGTGGAGAAGGGCTCAGGGAAGTGGCTGGTCACTGACGGTGGGACATGTGTGGGAAGACATGCTAGGCTCCTCCTCAGGGGTAGGGAGGGGAAGGAGCCCAAGGACCAGGTGGATGCTGTGGTGGGGAGCAGGTAGGGACCTGGGATGAGCCTGGGAAGGTGCTGAGTCTTTGGGTCTTCAGACTGTCACCGAGCTACTGACCTAACCTTACATTACCAACCTGGAGCCCTGGGATCTAACCTGGCACTGTGGCACCAACACTGCTTCCAGCCACCTTGGCCAGGCTGGGGCACTCTCCACAAGCAGCAGACCTCTGCCAACTTGAGGCTAAACATCCCCAGATGTTCTGAAAGCTTCCAGCACTGAGGCAGACACAGTAGTTTTTCCCGCAACCAGCGCAGCCCTGAAGACACCTCTGCCTCAAGCACCCTCTCTTTCTTCCCATTCATTCAGACCTGGAAACCAGGCTGCTGCTTCCCTTGGGAGCCTGGCTGTGTCAGTCCCCACCATGTGCCCCATCCCCATGATTTCTGCATTCTGGGCAGAGGGAAGAGTGGGCACTCACCTTACTCTTGTGACTGCTCAGCATGTCCCACTGTGAGAAGGAAGGAGACGGGCCCCCGGCAGAGGGTTTCAGGCTGAGCTGGCCCTGGATGCTGCTGGTGAGAGGGAGAGGGTGAAGATGCACAAAGCTGTGAGGGCTCAGGGTGCTGGTTGCTTTTGAGATGGTATCTGTGGGCCAAATCCCAGCAAGGAGGTGACACCGAGTCATAATAGTGGTGTCGCCCCAGGACACAGTAGGAGACAGAAGGGAGGCTGACCCCAATTTGGGAACATTTCAGATGGCACCTATGCAGCTCCTAAGGAACCAAGCTTGTGGAGTGGTGCTCCGGGGCTGATTTCATTCCACTGAGGCATCCTTCCTCAGCCAGGTACCTAACTGTAATGCCTTCTACCCAGGGCCCCAGAGCACACCCCCTGACACAGAAAAGACCCGACGCAGAATAGCCTGTAGCCACCCACCATGGAGCTCACATTAGGTATGCAGGGGACCTGACCTGCCAGGTGGACCTCAGCTTGGGGCCCCTCTAATGAGCCCAATCTTCCTGATGTCACTCTGTTCAAGCATGTTCATGACAGGGAGTAGACTGCCCTTGGAGGTGGAGGGCTCAGCCAGACCCATGCACCTGTCCTGCCCTTGCCTGAACTTGTTTCCTCTCCTCTTCCCCTCCCGCCTGACAGAAGGTGCTCAAACCACTTAACTCGGTATTGGAGGGGACTGGGAGTCACCCAGAGAAAACTGAAGCAGTGCCCCAGCTCATTCTCCTCCCTCAACTCCCTGATGCAGACACAGGAAGCCTGTCTGGCTCTGCAGAGGGCCCTGGGAACAAGTAGGGTGCCCTAGGGACAGGTGGGGCTCACTCTGCCTCCTCCTCAGTGTAACTCAGCAGGCCCCGGCCAGTCTCAGCAGTGATGGAGTTCAGTGTGTAGGATGGCTTGGGGCAGCCGCTGCCCACACCCTCTCTGCCTGGGGCAGCGGTGATCTCCTCTCCCTCCATCAGTGCACGCGTCAGCTCTTCCTCAGTCACAGCTTTGGGTGAAGGACAAAGGAAGCAAGGGCATCAGAAGTGGCTGCAGGACCTGTAGCCTCTGACCTCCCCAGGGCCTTCAGTACAGCCTGCTTCTGATGTGCACGCTGGTCATCCATCACCGTGGTCAGTCCCACCCCCTTTATGGCCAGCCCAAGTACACGTGGGACACTTAGCAGATGGACAGAAATGCTTATGAATCTCAACTCCAGCTTCAGCTAGGAGCAAAAACCCCAAATGAGACAAAAAAAAAATTTTTAAGTGTGGTTCTAGGGATTGAACCCAGGGCCTTGCACAAGCTAAGCAGATACTCTGCCACTGAGCTACACCAGCCCCAAGACAAATTGTAAAAAGGAATAGGAGGCACAATGTTTATTCCATTTCAAGCATATATGACTTAATCTCCTTGCTTTGTTCCTATTAAAATTGTTTGGGAGAAAATTCCGTATCATTGGTGAGGACTAGAAACTGCAATTTCACCAGAAAACAGCCCTGGAGCCAGAGAACTGGCACGAGCACAAATGGCCCATGGTGAGGGTGCAGCAGGAGTGCCTTCCTCGAAGCTCCAGAGGCCTGGCGACCAGTGAGCTGAGCTGCAGGCCCTGTGGAGCAGCAGGTGCTACCTAGCCACCAGCTGCACATGACTGCCATGGTGCACGGAGAATTCTCCTCAGGAGGACACAAGGAGAAAGGCCTCAAGTGTCCCCTGACTGGTGGGGTCACATATGGGAACCCCGCATAGCGCCAGGCTGGGCAGCTGTGTCTGGGTGTCATATGACACTAGCACTTCTGTGGGAGCCACTCTTAAGAAGATTTCTGTGTGAGGGAGGGACACCTATGCCCTCTCAAATGGGGGGCTGCAGAAGAGGAGGAACAGGGCACCAGGGAAATTTCCCCATGGGGTCTGCCTCGGCATGTCAGGTGTAGGCCGTGTCCCCAACCCTACCTTGGTTGTCTAACTTCTGCAGGTGGGGCAGGTTACGCAGCACCGTCATGCGGTACAGGTGGGGGCTGGTGCCACAGCACGGGTTCTCTGCCAGCCACAGCACCTTGAGGTGCGGCAGGTCCTTCAGGTAGAAGAGCTCATCCAGGTTGGGGATGCAGTTCCTCCTCAGGTATAGCTCACTCAGGCGTCGGCAGCAGCTCACGGGCTCCAGGGTTGAGACACTGTTGACGCTGTGGGAGCAGCAAGGTTAGTGACCAACCAAGCAGGGCTTCCAAGACTGGTATGAGCTCACATCAATTGTGAGCATCAGAAAAAGGCACCCTTGGGAGCCCACAGCCACCACCCTCTCCTTAGAAGCAATGAGTCAAGGTTGGTGAAGACCCTGTGGCAAGCAGCACGTCTAAGGACGGCAAGGCCCTTAACCTGCAGTGCAGTGGGAACAGCTCCTGCAGGCTTATGCTCTGTATTTAGGCTAGCTCAGGGCACTACCATTTGAGGTGGGATGCTTCATCTGCTTCGTAGGTGAGGACTCTAAGCCCCCAAGGTTTACAGTCACTCAGCTCCAAGGCTAGTCACTAGATAGTGACTAAAACTCATGGCAAAAAGTATACACAAACTCTGTGTCACATAGGACTCAGCACCACAGAAGAAAAACACCAGGAGGCATAGAACAGAAGGTCCTCACAGACATGACGGCATCTGTCCCACCACTGCCACAAAGAGATGGGGCTTTCACTTGCAGGAATTTGGCTCAAAGGTGGCTGAGTAGCCTCCTGACTCCCGAGAGCCAGGGGTGGCCTGATGAGCCAGTCACACCCACAATGCTGCTTTCTGCAGGGCTGCCCTGGTGGGGGCATGCACACCATCATGCTGACCATGTAGAAGGCGTCCATACCAGCATCTAGCAGGCAGCAGAAGCCACAGTGTCAGCGCCCTCTCTGTGACCCAGAGTGGGTAGGAGGGAAGCAAGGGCATGGGGAGCTCTTCCCTTTCCCCAAATGCTCCCCAACTCCCTCAAACTCCAGTGATAGTATCTGGGTCTTTCAAGGTCTCCTTAGTCTGCTAGGTTGCTGATGGCCTGGGAAGAGGAACTGACCAGTGCTAGATCTTGGAATATGAAAAGACTGATGAGCTCCTAGAGGTAACAGAACCAAAAAGGCAGGAAAGGTGTCCCTGAGGCAGATGTGGCCAGGGTAGGCCACAGCTCATCACTATCAGACCACCATCAACTGTGGCCCTGAATGCACAGGTGATGGGGTGTCAAGGCCAACACTGAGCAGTGGACACATCAAGGTGAGGAAGCCATGAGGGGGCCCAGGTAGGATAATGGGGTGCAGGTGCTGCAGGAGAACCAGGATTTTGTGGCCCCAGCACCCTCTCCCAGCCTGTGCTGGGAGCGACCAGGTTTTCCCTCATGACTGGGTCCCAAAGGAGGGCCATGAGGCTCTCCCAGGTTCCACACCCCAGGAGTCTAATGACATAGGAGTCAGGTACCTGAGCGTAATCACCTCCAGGCTGGGCATCTCTCGGCATATGGAAATCTAGGGAGGGAAAGAATGTGGCTGGCAAGCTTGCTTGGCACTGGTGTTCTGATGCTGCTTCTCTCAGACCAGGGGAGAAATCTGCCCCAGATTTCAGGGGGTACGGGGCATGGCCTCAGGCAGTCAGATCTCTTAGAAGAAATCTAAGACACACTGGGCTCGGTGTCATGCTCTTAGCCAGACTTGTCCTCAGGGAGCAGTCTCTCTCTCTCTCTCTCTCTCTCTCTCTCTCTCACACTTTAGAGGGATATTGCTATCAAATGCTGCCAATTATAGAGAACATTCATTAATTTTGATGCCCTTGAAGAACATCAGGTGAGGACTGCAAGGTGCCCTAGTTTTGGCACAGAGAACTTTTCTTTTTATTGCCCCTGAGATACAAGGAAAGGATGGAAGTCCTCTTTGCCAACAGAGTCAGGCCAAAGGAAGACAGGCTTGAAAATGGGTCTCAGACCACATCAACACTGGCATTTCCATGAAACAGGGGAGCTGCTACTTGGGTTGTGTGCCCAGGTGCTGTGTCCAGGTCTTCACAGACCCTCAAGCTCCAGCTCTAAAGATCCAGCTAGCCTGTCTGCAGTGGAGTGGGGTGGGGTGGGAGGCCTGAAGCTGTGGCTGACCAAGAGGCGGTCACACAGAGAGCTTCTGACAACAGCGGGTCTCCTTAGATGAGCCACCCACTACCCTTCCCCAGGAATCCTTCTTAGGGCAGAGCTTTGACTCTGTGGCCTCTCTGAGCAGGACCAGCAATTGACATGGGACTGAACTGATGGCCATAGCTTTGCCACTTTGTTCTCTCAGGGATGACGCTATAGCTTTTGGGGCTTGGGCCATTTGGAGCTGATCAAGACAACACTTACATCTGTGAGACGACTGCCCCTGGGGAAAGAAAAGATGTATATACTTTAATCTTGTTGAATAAAATATTTAAAAATTCCCCAAATTAATGGCAAATACCTACAAACCTTAAGATTCTGTGATTTAAATGGCACAGATAACTGGAAAAGGTGGCAGAAATGGTCAGGTTGGGTTCTGACAAAGCTGTATGGTGCTTGGGGTGCTCTCCAGACTAAGGAGCAGTAGGGGTTGCTCTGTCCGTAGGACACAAAAAAGATTTACTCATTGTCTTGGTTGGGTTGTTCCCTCCCTGCTATAAACAAGGGAGTCTTTATAAGAGGCCAAGTTCAAAGGCTAAACATGCAACTTATGAAGCAAACTTTAAAGGGTTGCAATAGCATTATTGTTTCTCCCTGCACAGAGAAACCACTGACCATTCCTTTGCAAACAAAGAGGGACATTATTGAAAGCCAAGGACAGAGGGAAACTGTGGCCAAAACACCAGATATGCCAGGGCAGAGAGAATGGCTTTTAATGAACACTGTAGAGCTCAGTCCCTCCAGCCTGGGTACTGAGACCTCTGGGAGCAAAGGTCTGCTCTCACTGAGCCCCTCCCCACTGCACTGGGCACAATGTCCCTACCGAGTCCCCAGGGGCACCTGTAGGTCTTTCAGGCCTCACCTGCAGGCTGCTTCCTCCAAGAGGGGACAGCGACGGCCAGTCGGGTCCGGAAGGACATGTCGAATGGGGTCTCCGCTCTTCTCCCGCCTTTTCGCCCCAAGCAGGTGACATGCCGGGCAGGGTCTCCGCTGCTCCCAGTCCTTCCCGCCCCCACCCTGGTGGACCGGCCACGCTCAGGGCAGCGCCTGTTGTCCCGGCCTCACCAGCAGTTGAGCTTCCGCACGTTGTGCAGCTCCGAAGCCTTGGCCCGGGAAAGGACCATCTTCCGAGTCAGCTTCATAGCGGCCGGGCTGTCGCCCCTCTGCCCCTTAGCTTGGCTTGAGGATGAGGAATCTGTGGCTGCGGGTCTCCAAGGGGCGGGGGCTGAGTCGTCAGGGGCGGATCCCGCGAATCCATTGGCAACCTGATGAGAGGGCGCGGTCGCGCAGGCGCAGTATGACGGTCTGAGGTTTTTTTTTTTTTTTTTGGCCAGGCGTGTGGCTCCGCCCCCTTTCGCTATCCCGCCCCTTAGGCCGCGCGCCTAGTCTTCCGCATGCGTAGGCGCCCTGTTCTGACGTCATCCAAACGCGACCGCAGGGGCGCGCGGTGGGCGGTGCTCGGCTGGGGGCGGGCTGAAGTCTTAGCCTGGTGTGCGGAGGCGGTCCAGGCACTGTTGTGACTTACAGCGATTTAATCTCTTGAGATAAGTTCAGGGCACTTCCAGGCGCAGGTGCCGGAGACACGCCTCAGGCCTCGGGGACGCCCGGTAAAGATGGAGGTGACCTCTGAAAGTCTGGGTCAGAAGGTCGGGAAGGGCGAGCAGTGCCCTTGAGGGATGCGCGCAGAAATCCCTCATAAGAAGCTTGCATATCGCCCCTGCCTAACAAGGGCGGTGGCCACCAATGAGCCCGCACACGCTTCTGAGTCTTAAGCCTTGTAACCAGGATTTTGTTACAAAATAGCTCATCTGGACTTTTGTCTTTAAAATCTCCGTCTTTTGCCCCAAGATCTTGGATGTGCTTGTGATCTCTCATAGCACTCATACATCGGATTGCAGTCCTCCAGCCAATCCCAATACCCTTGTTCGTTCTGGATTGCCTCTCTGAGCTTCCTTTTAGTTTGACAACTGCAGTGTTATTACCTGGATCATAGGTTTCATGAAGACAGGCATTTGGAATGTCAGGCCTATTCGAGGTGACAGACTCTCCTTGACCAAACTTAATCAGGCTCCTCTTAGTCTCCTTTCCATCAGGCCCGTTCAGCTAAGTCTCACCTAAGATATTGGACTACCTTGTGTAACTCATTAGGGTCCTCATACTTTGATTGATCACCCTGGCCTGTGATTATCGAGGATAATGTTCAGTTGAGCAAGGATCCCCCTCATCCACTGTCCCTACTGTTGGAAGTAATAACCCTCCGGTGCCAAAAACAGACACACAAGAGACAGAAAATCTTGACCAGGCAATTTTCTCCTGATCAAGAGGGTGCGAGCATGTGCTCACTCCCGCTAAGCAACACACAAGCACAAAATGGCTGACAGTGGTTCCTCCTTATATCCCTGACGCAGTCGTACCTGCCCCTCACCTGGGATTTGTCCAGGTCAAAGGTTCACAATTTCCCTCGATTGGCTTAAAGGCTCGGGGGATGGGTTAGGGCATGCAGTTTGGCGGGCAATGGAGTTGTACAGGAACCTGGAAGAAGAAGCAAGGGCCCTTTAAACATGCGAGTCACCTAAGATGGTGACCTGAGGAATTTTTAAGTAATCTAAGAGGGTAACAAATACTTGGATAGAAAAGATCACTTTTCTGATACTACCCTGCTCCTTGGCTGTAAATCCCCATTAGTCTTTGTATTTGGAATCGAACCCAGAATTTCTACTTTATTGCAATAGTCCTGAATAAAGTTTTCCTCATTGTTGTAGCAAGTGTCAGATGAAGGGCACTGTTTATAAAGGGATGATTCTAAACACATGGCTTTGACTTGTGCTGCTGGGGCTCAGCTGTGTTCCACAGAACCCCCTTCCCATACAGCCCCAGGCTAGGCTTGACCCGAAGGAAAGCATGCATGAGATTTGGAAGGTGCGGGAACAGCAGTCATCACACACAGGATGGCTGTTGTGTTTAGAGATGGGGTGGACTCATAGCACCAAGGTCATCCCTCCTCACTGCCTTCCTGGTTCCCAGCAAACCCAGAGGCAGAAACATCCCCAGATCTCTCTCTCTCTTTTTTTTTTTTTGCAGTACTGGGGTTTGAACTCAGGGCTTCACACTTGCTAGGCAGGCACTCTGCCACTTGAGCCACTCTGCCAGACCTGATTGGCTCCCCAGATGTCTTTACCAGCTCTTGTCCTGCTGACTCTGCCTCTGAAACTAGATGTGCCCAGCTGCACAGTGTCCCTATGAATGCCCCCTCCCGCCACAGGAGGGCTGCCAAGAGACTTACCTCGAGCTTTCCAACTTCTCCTTTTGGGTTTTTACTTCCCTACTTGTGCCATGATTGTGTAAAGTCCGATTCCTATCACGTTTGTTTCATAATACTCATAAGGGGCTTGATGCCTGATGGAAGCCTGAAACAGGCAGAAAAGTGACCCAAATCCACATAAGCCAAAAAATGAAACATTGGCTCCCCTCTCTGAGGAACCCAGGGTTGGGGCTTCATCATGACCCCCTCCAGGGTCTCTGCCATAGTTCTCTGGGCCCGGTCTCTTTCTGTCCCACCTCTCTGTTGGCCCCAAGCTCCAGGTATGCAGCCGACTGCTTCCAGTTCAGTTCCTCAAGCTGAGGAACTGAACTGGAAGTTCAGTTCAGTCCTTAGGTTCAGGGACTGGTGCAATCTAGGTCACGTGTCGTTCCTGAACTGGGCCGTGCACCACCGTGACTGTCGGGCTGGGTCACAGGCCCAGTTCTGAAGCTGGGGTAGAGAATAACCTGGAGAAACATCTAAATGCCATTAGCCTGACTGCTGTGGAAAGACAGACCAGCACCTGCCTGGCCTCGCCCTCGACAATGGCACAGACTTTTCCTGAGCTCTTGCTTGTTTTCCTTGGCATACATTCTTCCTTGTTCCTGCTAGAACTGGGTCATTCCCTGGGGTACACCCTCCCTGCTCCTCGTCTGTGCCCTGCAGGTGGGGAACATACCCCTTTTGCCTTTGTACCCAGGGGTGCTGATGTATCCCAGACCAGTGGTAGGAGTGGTGACATGAGGTTGCTGTAGCCACTACAGTGGAGGACCTCAGAAAGAGAGCACTAGGCCAGGTCCAGTGGTATGACAGCCAGACCTGCTTCAGAATGGGGTGTGTGTCACCTGGCCACTTCCTGACAGCCACAGCTGACATCCTCCCTCCACCTGCCCTCTGGAGAGGAGAACTGCTAGCCCAGGTCACACCTTCCTTCCCAAGCACCGGTGATTAACTGGAGGGGCATTCAGCCAGGCCCAGGCCTCAAGGTGGCATAGCTGGGAAGGTTCTGACCTCAGAGGGCTCACAGCGGTTTCAGGTGCACCTATGTCACAGATGTGCTCTCATTTGCCAAACCCTGCTCCTTCCTCCTCTACAGATGGTGATCCTAAGGCCCCAGCCTCAATAGATCCCTAAGGACAAAACGCAGGGCCTGCTTCATGAGGAGCATGACACAGAAGGTGACCCTTTTCTGAATCAAAGACCACCTCTGCTTTCATCAGTTATGCTGTCCAGACACCACACTCTCTGTGATTTGTACCAGTTGGTTTCTGTACCCATGGCCAGGGTGCTGATAGAGTAATAATGTCACCATTTTGTGAATCGTGGCCAAAATGGCAGCCCCTCCCCTTAAGAGAAATTCCTGCACTCTAAGACAGCCCCACCCCTACCAGAGACTACCGAGTGTGTGCTGACTTCCTTACCCTCCCCCTTCTATAAAAGCCACGCCTGGCCCAGAGTCTGTGCCGCGCCATCTTTCCCTGGCCAGCCTGGCGGTTTGAGCCTGCCATTAAACCTTGCTCTTGGACGTGAGACTTTTCTTGTGAGCTTTCTTTGTGAGTGGCATTTTCCTAACACTGAGGACTGGGTCCACAGGTGCACTTACTCCAGAGTTCACACTGGGGCCCTGCAGGGCACGTACCCCCATGTGTGTACAGTTGGAGATGGTTCCTTGAGATGGCCCAGACTGCCCCCAGGCTCCATTCCAGCTCCCTTCCTCTGCCTGGCCACCCCTCAGAAGGACTCATCCACCTCCAGATACCTGTCAGGTGGTACAAAACTAACTACCTCCAAACTTAGCAGCTCCCAAATACACATTGTTTTCTCCCTTCATCCTTTGTAACTGTAGGGAAAAATTACTGGTGGGAGAGTTCCTTTTTTGTTTCAGGAATAAACGTGAAGTTTCAGATACAGATGGGAGAAGAACAAAACCAACTTTTGCCAGAGAACCATTTTAACCCATCAGGCATCTCCAGTCAGAGGCGCCATTTACCTCCAAGATAGTGGGAGACTAATAATGTACTGTCCAGCTGTGTGATCTCCAAAATTAGTCTTTTTAAATTTATTTATTTTGGTACTGGGGTTTGAACTCAGGGCCTGCACCTTGAGGTGCAGGCTGTACCAGCCCTTTTTTGTGATGGCTTTTTTTCGAGATAGGGTTTCTCGAACTCTTTGCCCAGGCTGGCTCTGAACCTCAGTCCTCCTAATCTGTGCCTTCTGAGTAGCTAGGATTCCAGGTGTGAGCCACTGGTGCCCAGCAAAATTAGTCATTATAAAAGTCAACTAAAATCTAACAAAGTCGAGGGTTTATTTAGGTTTTCTCTTGGTTCTAATGGTAGGCACCATGGAGAAGCTACTGAAGGGCTTCTGGACACAGGCAAGGGCAAGTGGAAAGGCACTGAGTCTGTGTTTGGGGAAAACAGGAAGGTCATGGCTGTCTGACAAAGCAAGTCAGGAAGTTGTGGTGAGAGATGGAGCGGAAGGTCAAGAGCAGACCATGATGCAGGGCCTGCAGTTTGGTAAAGCAGGTTCTTCAGCCTGACAAGATAGCTCCCCAACTTACGGCTTGACCGTACCTCACAAGAGGCCTCAGTCAGGCCCCCCAGCTCGATGCCCCAGCATTTCAAATGACCCTCAGATAACAGTACCTGTGCATCAGAAAAGCAGACCACTGAGAAATTCAACTCCCCCACCCCTGCCCCGCCCTGTGACTAAGACTAAATAGACACTTCCCCAAATCTTTATAGATAGACCTCACTACAGCTGAGACCTGGCTTCTCGTCAACACACAGGAGGTGGCTTGGTCTGTTTGGACTGCTATGACAGAGCAGCAGGAGCAATGGCCATTTACTGCTTGCAGTTCCAGAGACTGAAAGTCCAAGATCAAGGTGCTAGCGGATCTGGTGTTTGGAGCATCTTCTTTCTGTGACCTCGCGTGGTAGAGACAAAAACAAGCCGACTGTCCAAATCTCTTTAATACAAAAGTTACTAATCTCATATTGAGAGCTCTACCCTCATGACCTGATTACCTCCCAAAGACCCCATACCCTTAACACCATCACATTGGGAATTAGGATTTTTGGCAGATTTGAGCTCAAAGCCTTATCTTTGCTAAGGCAGGTGCTCTACCACTTGAATGACTCCCCTAGACTTTTTTGCTTTAGCTAAATTTTTTTGTGGTACCGGAGTTTGAACTCAGGGCCTGTACCTTGAGCTACTCCATCAACCCTGTTTTTGGTGTGTGTGTGTGTGTGTGTGTGTGTGTGTGTGTGTGTGTGTATGTGTGTATGTGTGTGATGGGATTTTTCAAGACAGGGTGTCATGAACTATTTGCCTGGGTGGCTTGGAATCGCGATCCTCCTGATCCCTGCCTCCTGAGTAGCTAGGATTACAGGTGTGAGCCACCAGTGCCCAGCTACATTTTTTTCTTTTTTAAAGCTATTTCTTGAATGGTGTTTATGTCCAGGCTGGTCTAGACCATGGTCCTCCTATTTATGCTTCCTGAATATCTGGGATGACAGGCAAGGGCCACTATGCCTAGCTGGTCTTGAACTGTAAACCCTCCTAATTGCCACCTCCCAAGTAGCTGGGATAACAGCTGTGAACTTACACTTCCAACTGGGAATTAGGTATTAAACATAGGCATGTGGGACACGGACGTGTAGCTCACAACAGGGGATGAGATGATTTCTTACCATGTGGTGCTGTGAGAACCACAGATGCACAATGAGAGCCCTGGGTGGTGTCTACAGAAAGACATATACCCCGTCAACCATTGGACCTGCCTGCCTTCTGCTGTCAACGCCACACTAGTTTCAGGAGAGTCAGGAAAGACCTGCTATACACAGACTCAGACTTCCAAGGCAAATCCTAAAACTGTTCTGGAAGGAAAGAAAAGCAGCTCAGATCTGTTGAGTTTTACTCAGTGTCCTGGGGTCTTTCACGCCTTAGGGTCATGCCCGGCTCTGTTATTACTGTTACTTCCATTGCTACATGGATGCATCATCTGTTAGAAAAGTCCAGAAAAGATGCAGTGAGTGGAGGGTTCCAGAGAGCTGCTGTCCTTACACCCTCAGGTGGTACCCTTCACAACTTTACCTTTAAATTTCAAGAGCAGTCCTTTTTGATCAGATGTTTCTGAAATGCAGATAACCTATTGACTCCACAGATTAAGGAAAACAAGGATATTCTCCAACATGAAACCCACTTCTTAAGATCAGGAACCCTTAAACTATAGCCCCGGAGCTGACAGAGTGGCTCAAGCAGTAAGAGCACCTGTTTAGGAAGTATGAGGCCCTGAGTTCAAACCCCAGTGCTGGAGAGAAAAAAAAATCATTTCAACTTTAAATCCTTCCTTAACTGGGGGAGGAAAATCAACATTAAATAAAATGCTACTTAAAAAAAAAAAACCTACAGCCCCCAATCTGGCCCTCTGCCTGTTTTTGAAAATAAAGTTTTATTGGCACACAACCATGCCCATCCATTTATGCATACCCTATACCTGCTTTCCTATTGCAAAGCCAGAGCTGGGTAGTTGGAACAGAGACCATCTGGCCTGCCCCCAGCCTACAATAGCTATTATTTGGCTCCAGGTAGAGAAAGTACGCAGGGCATGGCTCTGTGATCAGACCTCCTCTCTTTCTCCCTGCTTGGGTCTCAGGACCCAGAGCCTGCTTTCTTGCTCCCGCACATTGTTCAGGACCAGAGTGTGTCCATGCAGAACGGTCAGATCACTATCCTTTTCACCAACTGTGGTTTCCTTCTTGCTGCCAGACTAGGGAGCTTTTTATCGTAGGCATGATGAGTATGCTGCGAAAACTCCTTGTGCCGAACCTTTCCTTCCTCTGAACTTGAGGTGACTCTGTCAAGATCAGCACATGCTGCATTCGAGTTTCATGGCATTTTATGGGAAGGATATTTCATAATCGCGTTGTGGTGCATCCTGGCAGAGGGGATGTGGTCTTCTTGTAAAACCTGTGGTTCTTCTCCAGAAGGGAAGGAGCCACTTGGGGCAACATGGCACAGTGCTCCGTCAGAGATGCTCAGCTCACTAACCACTCACCTTACATGATGTTCCCACAGAGGCCCTGGGATACTCGGAAACAGAAGCTCAGCCTGTCCATCAGCAGGCTCTGTCTTATGAAATATTAACGCCTGGAAGTGTTTTTGTTAACGAAATGGTTCAGGGAAGGAGCACAGGACCTGACTCAGCTGGCATGGGTGGGTCTCCACTTCTTTACCCGGTAACCAGTGTCCAACAGACACCTCTCCTGGGTGTGGCAGATTGACCCACAACCTACTACTGCAGCTGGCACCACAGAGCACTTCCCAGTCGCCAGGCTTCCAGCAGCCGTGGACAGAGGAGTGTGCACCCCTGCAGGGTGCAACCCAGCAAGGCACAGCTACAGCATAGAAGCCACATGCATAGCTGCCCATCCTGCATCCATGGTGCCTACTGGCTTTGGAGGAGAGGCTCCGCTTACATTCGTTCCTATCAAAGTGACATAGCTTTGCCCCAAGCAAGCGGTGGGTGATATCTTTCCCACAACTTCCTAGGAACTAGGATGGTGGGAAAGTGAGATTGTGGGCATTCCTTAGCTCATGCCAGTTGGCTCTTCTGTGGAGGTGCAGGGGCAGCTGGAGGAGAAGGGACTTCTAAAGGAGCATGCCGTGGGCAGAAATCTGGCCAGGGTACCCAGGGGAGGGGAGAAAGGGGTAGCTGGCCAGGTGGGAGTCTGTGAGCAGACCCCCCTCTCCCCAGCATTCCCTGGATCAGAGGCCATAAGGCCTTCTTTACTTCCCTGGACACTGAGGCCAGTGGCCCAGGCATGGCAGCTGGGCACTGGGCACTGGTGGCTGGTGTTGGGGAAGGACAGGGCAGAGTGCCTTGGTGGGGTGAGAGTCCAGTGGTCTCACTGATTTTGGAAGTCACAATCTTCTTTTCAGGAGTCAGTATGCCATTCTCAGAACCAGCACAGAGACCAGCAGTGCAACCAAGGTGGAATTGTTGGGCAGCTTTGGGCCAGTGGTCATGCCTGCCTGTGGCCTGGGTCTGTGGGTTTGATCTTCCTCTCTCTTCCTGCCCCTCCCTGGTGTGACACATCTGAGGAACAGGCCTTGAAGCTGTCCCAGTCTTGGGGTCCAGTCTTACTCCTTGCCAACACTCTAGATTTGGTCCTGCCAGGGCAGAGCAGGGGGTCCTGAAGCTGTAGGAGGTGACTCAGGTCCCCCTCAGACACCTGCCTTTCTTTTCCCTCCCCCAGTGCGCTTTCTCCAGGGCGTTCAGGGCTTGAAGATAAGCGTTGAACTGGGCATATAAACTTCGGACACATTTGTGGAGGGTCTGACTCTCGGCAAGGCAAACACCCGCGTGAGTGTCAGTACCTCGATGACCCCGGATCTTTGACCCGCTGGTGGGGCGTCTTAAGAGGCCCAGCTTGCGTGCACCTCCGCGCGCCCTTGGCTTCAGCTGCCGCGCTCACCGGAGCAGAGTGACGCAGAGCGCAGTGCCGGCGACTCGGGCTGCTCCGGGTTCCCGGCGCACCTCGGCCGGGAGATGAGGGCGGCCGCGCAGGGCCAGGGCGGCTGTCCTGTGCAGTGGAGCCAATGACGCCCGAGCACGGGTATGCGCAACGGCCGGGAGCGCGAGCCCGGGCGCTGGTGCAGGGGCTGAGGCCAGGAGAGAGAGTGCACGGGTGGAGAGGTGCGGCGCCCGCCGGGCTTGGGGAGGGAATGCAGAGGTACAGGGGCGCCGGCAGGGGTAACGTCGAGGTGCAGGGGTGTGGGCTGAGGTGCCGAGTGAGTACAGGGGCGCGGGGTGCAGGGAACGCGACTTGGGTTTGGTTGCGGCTTGGGCGCTGTTGCAGGGGCGCTGGCCTGAGTGGGGGGAGGTGCACTCTGGTGCAGGGGCGCAGATTGGGATGCCGGGTGCTTGCAGGGGCCGGAGGTGCAGGGTATGAGGTGTAGGCTGGGGTACAGACATCGTCTGCTGTGTGAACCTGGCGTGAAGGAGCAGACGCAGTGTTTGCGGGCTTTTCTATCCCACCCCTGCAAGGGGAGCGGTGCCCGGGACCTTCACAGGAGACCAGGGCCCACTTCCTTTGGCTCTTGGCTCCTGTGCCCCCTCTCCGTGCTTAGTTATTTTATTGGTTCCCAAGTACTGGCCTAGCCGGCATGTCCAGGATGGGGGAGGGAGGGCAGGGGCAGCGAGCCTGTAGTTTACAGTGAGGGAAGCAGAGAGGAACGGGCCTGCCCTGGCCACCAGCCAGGGCGCACAGGCTTGTCTCTTCCCGTTCTGTTTCCTGGTGATCCTTGGGCTGTGGTGAGTTGGGGTGCCGAGGTACACCTTGGGTCCTTGTGTAGTCCCATGTGTGACAGCTTGAAGAGTTGTGTCCAAAGTCCCGTTTTATTTGGCCTTGGTGTCATTCCTGATTTTTCTTTTCTTTTTTGGAGGGGGAGTTGGGGCGCGGGGGACTCTCTCAGCAGAGTCTGCTCTCAGCAGAGGAGCTGCTGCTCTGGGGCTGACAGGGAAGGTGTGGCAGTCCCCTCTCCCATGGATCTGGGTTCTTTTCCTCCCCAGGAAAGAGCTCCCCAGCTCTCCCAGCATCTCTGTGCAGAGCTCAGGTCTGGGATTCACCCCGCCCTGTTCTGCCTATTTGCTGTGTTACAGCAGCTTCAGGTTCCTGGCAGGTGCCCAGGTGTTTAATAGGTGTGCTTTTGTATGTCCTGCATGAGGGCATAGACACTGTTACATCCTATCCATCTATTCATTTACCTCCCAAGTGTTTTTCTTTTTTTAGGGGGGGGTTACTGGGGTTTGAACTCAGGACTTTGCTAGGCAGATGCTCTGGAGTGCTTTAACACACTCAGCTATGCCACATGCTCGGGGAGAATTTTAGCTCTGTACCAGTGACCAGAGTTGGTTTTAGTTGACTGACTATGTGACAGTGGATAGGAGAACCCTGGAGAAGGGTGGATGGGCAGAGTGTAAGGTCATTGTCAGCTGTGGGCTTCAGGGCTCCTCCTCCTCTAGAAGAAGGGAGGGGGCTGAACCAGCGTCCCCATGTTTGTGGTCACAGTGCAGCTCCTGACCCATCTTTCAGTCTGAGGACAGTGGTGGTGCAGGGGGAGGATGGGCTTCCCAGGGCCATTTGTAGCTGGGGTTGGAGGAGGTCTGTGGAAGACCTGAGATGCTGAGACGGCAACTGTCCAAAAAGTGAGGAGGTGCGTGTGAGCACTTCAGAGCCTTAAGACAGGCAAAGTCCTCAGTCATATGCACTGTCCTATGCTGGCCACTTCATTTCTAGCATCTTGAGGGGAGGCTGTCCTAGAGGAGCCACCTCTAGTCCAGGTCCCCTCAGACTGGCTGGACCAGTTCCTGTCCCACTTCTGTCATCTGGGCATGTGTCTTGCTCATCTGGCTTCCTCAGGAGTGGGTTGGGAGATGGGGGAGCTGCCATGAAGGATGGCAGGGGCCCTAAAGGCCATAATGGGGTAAGGTACACCCTCTGCTCTCACAGCTGTGCATGAAGCTGGCCAGTTACCTGCCCTTCAGGTCTGGAGGCCTGGGAATGCGTGTGGCCCAGGGTCCAGCAGAGAGGAGGATGGCAGGGAGACAGACCTGAGAACATCTGTCCAGAGTCAGTAGTCTCAGATTACTCAAGAGCCCAACCCCAAGCTGAGAGCCAGTCAGTGTCAATCTGAGCAGAGGGGTGTTCCTGGACCTGTTAGGGTCCCCATGTGAGAGGGATGGAGTGGGGAGAGTCTGTGCCCCCATGCAGGACATACAGGCAGAAAGGTCTTTAAGGCATTCAAGGAGGGAGGGCTCATGGCACATCGTTGCCCCTAGGTGACCCCCTCTTAGGGAGGACAGTCTTAGGGTACAGTGGGCCCAGGGAAGCTCTGCAGGGCTGGAACACACTTACTTTTCTCCTCTGCGGGCCCCGTAATAAAGACTGACTGCCTCAGAGGCAGGGAGAAAGGCTTTGAGAAAACAAGGCTTGCTCTAATCAGCAGGCTCATTTCTCGGAGTGCAGAGCTGTGGCACTTCCTGAAATCTACTTTGTGGGCAGCAGGGGTTTTTCCTTCTGGAACATAAAAAAAGTGAAGAAGGTCTGCAGCCTCGAGTTACGCAACCACAGGGTGCACACCAGGGCATGTGGTGGCCATGGTGATTTCTCTCCTATCAGTGCCCTGGGCTCTCACATAGGGAGTGTCTGTGTGTGGTAGGGTCTACCAGGGAGAGTATAGAACTGCCTGGTGATCTGGGTTTGTGGCCATTAGGAATGAACACTGGGGACTCCCATACGTTTGTGCTTTCAGACTGGGGCTCTGCCAAATGACAGAATTCGGGTAGCCTGGGAAAATGTGCAGACTGATAAAGGAGAAATGCTCCCTGTGAGGAAACACATGTCTAGGTCCTCTCGGAACACTGGTTTCCTCTTCCTCTTTCTGATCTATTTCAGCAGCCCCCCATGGTGTGTTTCCAGAATTCCCAGCCTTGCATGAAGGAGAAAAGACTGTCCTGAAGGAGGTGACAGAGCAGGCTGAAGCTGAGCCCTGGGTGGTGATGGAGCACTCAGACCCAAGGAAAGCTGGCTCCGAGCAGGAGGAGGGCTTTGGGGTACAGCCCAGGACAGTCACCGATCTGGGCATGGTCCCTAATCTCCGGCGAAGCAACAGTAACCTTTGCAAGGGCAGGAGGCTGCAGTGTGCCTTTGGCAGCAGTGAGAAGGTAGGCTTCCACTGGCTGTCCTATAGTGACCCACAAGCCCAGAGGGGGCCAAGTGGTGACATGGGCTGGGTCTACCTGAGCCTTGTTGGTGTCCACAGGGTAGGTTCATTTCCTCTGTGGGCAGAGGGTCTACTGACATCAGGGGTTCCAGCCCAGCGACTATGCTCTTCCCATGAACAGCATAGTTAGGTAATGCGGGCATATAAACTGTAGAGTTCCAAGCACATCCAAGACGGGCTGGAGAGGGACAGATTTCATAGATTCATTCCTACCTTCTAGCCCACCCCAGGAACCTCTGGCAAGATTGCTTTAGCCTTCTGTGCAAGCTTTCTGGGAAGCATGGCCTGGGATGTGCGCTTTTGGGGGTGAGCAGTTTGACAATCCCAGGATCTCAAGGTGCTGTTTTTACCTTCAGCAAGAAAATCTTAGATCATGGATCCCTGAAAACATCAAGAAGAAAGAATGCATGTATTTTGTGGAGAGTTCCAAGCTGTCTGATGCTGGGTAAGTGACATGTTTGTGTTTGAGGCCTCTGACCCCTTTCTTCCAGTCCTGTTTGAGTATCTGAAGACCCACCCTAAAGGGCCTCAGCAGGGGCAGTGAGGAACCCTGCTATGTCCACATGGCCAAGTGTCCCAGGATCCTCCAGGGCAATGGGCTGAGCCCCGTCCTGCTTTGCAGATGGAGGACCTGGGGCAGAGGGTATGGTGACTTGCCCAGGGTCCTGATGTGCTGCCCTGTGGTGACAAATGGACTCAGCCTGGTGCCAGGGCTCCAGATCAGCCTTTAGAGCATCTTGTTGCTTTGGAAGCAGAGTGGTTCAGTCCAGGAGCTGGAAGGGGCCTTCAAGAAAGTCCACAGTCCAATGCCCTTATGGGCCAAAGCCCAAAGTGACTGGGTTGCCCCAAGTTTCCTCCGCCCCAGTGCCTTCACCACCTTCTCCTCTCCCCGCACTGAACCCACAGTTGTGGCTGCCAAGACCATGTCTGAGGCAGCAGTGGCCACTTTGGGCTGCTGGATGTTGCCCTTCTGGGTTGCCAGCTCTCCAGCTGGGGTTGCCCATGAGTCCTGAGGGGTGCCGTGGGGCAAACTGCAGGTCCACTCCTGTTCCTGGGACCGCAGAGCCCCCTGGGCACTGCTGCCCAAAGCTGCTGTTCCCTCAGTCCACACAGAGCATTGATTCACATTGCACCCTCTCTTCCAGCCACACCCATTTTGTTCTGCTCTACGGGGCCACCTTCTTTCTTCTTTTATTCATTCTCCCCTGGTAACTCCTACTTATCCTTCAAGGCCTGTTGCAGAAGCCACTTCTGCCATGTAGTTTTTGGAATGGAAGTTGCCTTTTGGAATAGGAAGAAGCCTTTCCTGGCACGCTCCCTCTATCCTCCTCACTGGCCATTGTGCTGTGCCTGAGGGACTGGGACTTGTCTCTCCTGCTCGTTGCAAAGCTCTTTTGGGGCTGTAACCAAGGCAGAGTGACTCTGTCACTTTCCACACCAGGCACATAGCTGGCATTAGGCTCCTATTTCCTGACTGGTGTGGGAAGGAGGTGTGTCCCAGGATGGGAAAGAGAAGGCTCGTACTGTAGAATCAAACAGTGAGCAGTAATGTTGTTTCTGGGCCCAGTGAAAATGCCCTGGATGCAGAGGTTCAGGGGTACCCTTGGGCCTGGCTCCTCTTTGGAGAAGAGCCTCATCTGTCCTGGGCAGAGACAGCACAAGTCCTTGAGGGAGAGACAGTCTCCAGCAAGCCCTGCTCCTAGCTCCACGGGCAGAACCTGAGTGTGCACTTAGAGTTCCTGGTTCACAACCACTCCTGATGGCTGCAGTCAGGCCTCCACGTTCATAGGTTTAGCATCCTCAGCTTCAACCAAACCTTAGCTGGAAAATAATTGAAAAAAATTACAACTTTCCTGAACACATACAGACTTTCTTCTTGACATTCCCTAAACAATACAGTGTAACAGCTATGAACACAGCATTTTCACTGTAGCAATTATTGTATCATCCAGAGAAGGCTTAAAGTATGCGAGAGGATGAGCCAGAGTTCTATGCAAACACGCTGACATTTCAGATAAGAGCATCCTTGGATTTTGGTGTCTGTGAGGGTCCTGGAACCCATCCCCAGTGGATACCGAGGGGCAACTCTGCAGAAAAGGACAAAGGACACCTTGTAGGAAGAGCAGGCCTGCCTCACAACCTTGACCAGCTCAGAGGAAGGCACACGGGTCCAAAGCCTGCTGCTTATTGGTTCCTTCACAAATCCCACGTGCTGGCTTTTCTTGGAAGTGGAACAGGCAAGGGCCTGGCAGGCTGATCGGGGTCAAGGTAGGCAGTGTAAACTCGCTTTCCAGGGTTCTCAACGCTACTCACCCCAGATACTCAGTGGCCCACTGAGAATCGAGGGTCTCTGTGTAGTTGTGCTCAGGGTTAAGGCTCATGACCACTTGTGGGCAGGACGTCTGGGATGCCCACTGGAGACTCAGTGCCAGGTCCATTTGGGGACTGGTCACTTAGGCACCCCTGCCTAGCAGCCACCCAAATCGCACACTCTAGAAGGAAAGTTGGTGTTCATGCTTGGCCTGTGATGCACCCTGAGCAGTCAGGGGTAGGGGAGTCCAGGACCCAAATAGCAGCCTTGAATGCAGGGCTCTCCGAGACCCAGCATCAGCCCCGCTGGGTGGCCTCTGTCCCGCAGTGTTTCTCTACCTCACCAATGAGACAAGATCTTCTGTGAGATTTCTAACTTTTTCAGCTTTTTGTTTTCTCTTTTTGCAGTACTGGGGGTTGAACTCAGGGCCTATACCTTGAGCCACTCCATCAGCCCCCCCGCCCCTTTTTGTGATGGGCTTTTTCAAGATAAGGTCTTATGAATTCTTTTGCCTGGGCTGATTTCGAACCTTGAGTCTCCTGATCTCTGCCTCCTGAGTAGCTAGGATTATAGGCATGGGCCACCAGCACCTGGCTTTTTTTTCTTTTTCTTTTTTGGCAGTACTGAGGTTTGAACTCAGGGCATCATGCTTGCTAGGCAGGTGCTCTACTACTTGATCTGTGCCCCCAGTTCAAGACACGGCTTTTTAAAATAGATTTACTGATATGCCTACATGTTAGGACCATTCTACTCTCCTTGTTCTGGCCTGGAATCTTCACTCCCTGACTCTACCCGGCCTTCTCCTCCTTTGGTCACGATTTACCTCTAGCCTTGGCACAATGTCTCTCTTCCCTGGACCACCATCTGCAGAGTATGGGGGTTGAAGTGGAGGCTCAGGAAGGTCTCTAGCCTAAAGCTAGAGTGTACTGAGTGAGGCCAGGAGTCACCTGCAGGTGGGAGAAAGGATCAGGCTGCAGAGGGTGCCTCCCGAGAGCTGTGTCTCCCCTCAGTGGTGACGTTCCCTTTATGCTGATCTGGGCAGGCTCTCTGATGATTTCAGTTCTGGGCCAGTGGTCCATGGAGATAAGCTCTAACATCAGAGATGACGGTTCAAAGAGAAGAAGGGCAGGACTGAGCTTGTTATTGGCTGTTCAAGACCTGTGAGAAACTTCGAGGCAGTATTAGGCCAAGGTTCAAGAGCTCAGGCCCAGTGACACATTCCCTGTCTTGACCGGGTCCCCACTCGTGACATGAGCACACAGTGTCCCCTAGGGTCTCTGCAAGCCTGAAAGTGCCTTGGATCCACCTTAGGGGTCTATACAATGTCAAGAGGGGGTCAGGGATATAGGACCTCCCCATTTTAATGATGGAGAAATTGAAATTCAGAAACGTCTAAGATCCCACAGTTGGTAAAGTGGTGGAGAAACACAAGCTCTGCCTCTCCTAGTTCATCTGGGTCAAGTTTCATCTGCTTTTATATTTTTCTTCGTTTCATTCGTACCCCAGTGAACAACAGTAAAGAACTAAAATGATTTCAACCCACAAAGACCAAGACAATAAGATGGGAGGTGGCAGCTGACAAAGGGTACATGTGCCTTCTCTCCTGGAGGGAGGAGAAAGCAGTCACAGCCTTGAGATTGGCGTGTTTGTGGCACAGCCCAGGTGCCCTCTGCTAGGCCTGGAGACTTGTGCCTTGCTCCACCCTCGTCTCTTCTGTGTTGGGCCTCCATTGTGTGTGTTCAATCTTTTATTTTGAAATAATTACAGATTTAAAGGAAGTTTTGAAGATGCTGCAAATGGGTTCCCCATTCAAATGTAGTACAGTATCAAACCAGAGTTCAGCATTGGTGCCATGTGGGTTCAGCTTTGTGTTCTGTGTTTCACATGTGGATTTCTGTGCTGAGCATCACAATTGAATGCACAGGGAGCTGGGTCCCCTCAGAGCTCTCCCTCGTACTTCCTTTTGGTAGCTACACCGCCTGTCCCCATCCCCGATCCTGGCAACTCCTACTCTATTTTTCATCACTGTGACTTTGTCATTTGTGAGTGTTATAAAGGGACCCACACTGCATAATCCGTGCCTCTTTTCACTCAGCGTAATGTCCTCAGGGTCCATCCAAGCTGTTGAATGGATAAGAGTTTGCTCTTTTTTCTTGCTGAGCAATCCTTTGACGTGAGATGTTTGTAGATAATTAATAGCTAGGTCCTATTTTTTTCTTTCTTTTCCTTTTTTTGGTGGCGCTGGGGTTTTTTTTTTTTTTCATTTTTCTTTTATTATTCATATGTGCATACAAGGTTTGGTTCATTTCTCCCCCCCGCCCCCCCCCTTACCACCCACTCCGCCCCCTCCCTCTCCCCCCCCACCCCCGCTCAATACCCAGCAGAAACTATTTTGCCCTTATCTCTAATTTTGTTGTAGAGAGAGTATAAGCAATAATAGGAAGGAACAAGGGGTTTTTGCTGTTGAGATAAGGATAGCTATACAGGGCATTGACTCACATTGATTTCCTGTGCGTGGGTGTTACCTTTAGTTAATTCTTTTTGATCTAACCTTTTCTCTAGTCTCCTGGTCCCCTTTTCCTATTGGCCTCAGTTGCTTTGAGGTATCTCTTTAGTTTCTCTGCGTTAAGGACAACAAAATGCTAGCTAGTTTTTAGGTGTCTTACCTATCCTCACCCCTCCTTGTGTGTTCTTGCTTTTATCATGTGCTCATAGTCCAATCCCCTTGTTGTGTTTGCCCTTGATCTAATGTCCGCATATGAGGGAGAACATACGATTTTTTGGTCTTTTGGGCCAGGCTAACCTCACTCAGAATGATGTTCCCAATTCCATTCCATTTACCAGCGAATGATAACATTTCGTTCTTCTTCATGGCTGCATAAATTCCATTGTGTATAGATACCACTTTTTCTTAATCCATTCGTCAGTGCTGGGGCATCTTCGCTGTTTCTATAACTTGGCTATTGTGATTAGTTGCCACAAATAACATGGGTGTGCAGGTGCCTCTGGAGTAACCTGTGTCACAGTCTTTTGGGTATATCCCAAGAGTGGTATTGCTGGATCAAATGGTAGATCGATGTCCAGCTTTTTAAGTAGCCTCCATTTTTTTCCAGAGTGGTTGTACCTCGTTTACATTCCACCAACAGTGTAAAGAAGGGTTCCTTTTTTCCCCGCATCCTCGCCAAACACCTGTTGTTGTGGTGTGCTGATGATGGCTATTCTAACAGGGGTGGAGGTGGAATCTTAGCGTGTGCTCTGGGGTTTGAACTCAGGGTCTCATGCTTGCTAGGCAGGTACTCTATCACTTGAGCCACTCTGCCAGCCTCCTGGGTCCTATGGGTTTTTGTTTAACCCAGTTCATCTTTTTGAAAGAAGTGGAATGCATTGCGTTACCCATGTTTTCTCTTTTCATTGTTTCTCCTTCCTTTGTGATATTCCCAAAGGTTTTCTTTACCATTCCATTTCTGTTTGGAGAGCTTCCTTTAGACATTCTTCTGTGGTGGCTCTGCTGGTGACAAGGACCCTCAGTCTTACTTCAGCTGAGAACGTCTTGACTTCCCCTGCATTCTTGAATGATATTTTGCTGAATATAGAATTCTGGTTGGTAGTTTTATCTTCCAGCATTTGAAAACTGCAGTACCACCTCTTCCTGGCTCCCATGGCTTCTGATTGTCTTTACTCATTTTGGTTGAGTTTCCTGGTTCTTGGTGTGACTAGTAGTTGTGGGTTAAAATCTTGGTTTAGGTTTTTTACTATGAGACTGTAGCTCTTGTGTTTTGGCTAGTTGTGTGAGGACCCCTGGACGAGGGGGCATCTTGTTGGTGCCACATGAGCAGAAGTCCACAGAAGGTCTCCTTTGCGTTCACAGAGAACCACATTAGGGTGTTCAACCCTCAAACCAACTTCCCTGGACGCTTGGTGGAGAGGACTTCCTGTACTGCCGTGGATGGGCTCTATCCCTGCTGATGCCGGCTGGCTGGGAGGGCAAGGGTGGCTGTCACTGCCCCCTACATGGCCTCTTCTGACACCAAAGTAGGGTGTCTTGTCATTTCTGGGTGGGATGAAAGTCCTGGCTCTCCTTTGGACCCTGGATGTGTCCACAGCAAGCAGCAGAGGCACTTCATTCCCTGGTGACTACACTGTGTCTTCACAGGAAGGTGGTGTGTGCATGTGGCTACACCCAGGAGCAGCACCTGGAGGAGGCCACCAAGCCCCATGCCTTCCAGGGCAAGGAGTGGGACCCAAAGAAGCATGTCCAGGAGATGCCGACAGATGCCTTTGGTGACATCATCTTCACTGGTCTGGGCCAGAAAGTAGGAAAGGTTGGTTCCATCCCTGTGTTGCTCTTCATTGTGGCTGGAGCCATGGTGGCCTGTGGTGACATGTGGTGGCAGATATCTTGGGCTGCAGAAATCAGGTGCATGGAGCCTACTACATGCTGAGGGATGGGACAGGGTAGGGTGGACATTGCAGGCAAATGAGAGACAAGGCACCTGGTGGGTGTTCTTGTTCTCTGCTACCTGCCCAGCAGAGGGGAGGCGAGCTGAGTTTCCTAGAGGAGGAGAGAGTGAATTCTTATATTTTGTCCCAGTCTGAAAGGTCGTGGGGACTAAGGAGAGATGCCCAGCTCCCGGACACCTTGGTGTGTACTTGTGAGCGGCAGCGAGGTGTGGACAGGTCAGTGGGAAGGCCCAGTGACTGCAAAGGCAGGGAGGCAGCATGAGCAGCAGGGGCAGGAGGCAGGCGCTGTGGCTGAGCAGAGTCTTGGTGCCTGTATGAGAGCACAGGGAGCAGACTGCTGGGGAAGACCCAAGCCCAAGCCGGGTTCCCCGAGGCCTCTGTCTCTGTGTGGTCCCTGGACTGGAAGCATCACCAGGCAAATTCCAGGCCCATGTGCCGCCTGCTGAACTGGGGCTCAGCCACCTGCATTCTAATAAGGCTTCTGGGGCCTTCCACAGTGCCCTGTGGGAATGGGAGGTAGCTGGCACCACTTATTTCTGTGCTGGGGTTCTAGAATCTTTGAGGTTCTTAGTAGCTGGGTGTGGTCTTGTCCCTCAACTTTCCTGGATGTCTCTCATGGTGGTGTCCACTTGAGCAGGAGGTCTGGGCACAGGGCTATGTAGTCTCAGGCTTCCTGGGCAGCCACCAGGCCCAGACTCACCCTACATCACAGTCCTGTGGGTGTTCTTGAGCTCCTGGCTCATCTGTCCTGTGGTCACTGGAAGGAGATCCTGTCACCTAGCTCCAGATGAGGCATGTTGGAGTCCCACCTCGTGCTCAAAGCCACAGTGGGCAGCAGCCAACAGTGGGCTTGAACCTAGCTGCACCTGAGCCTGGGATCCTGATCCTGACACATTCCTGGCTGTAGCCTCCTCCTTCCAGGCACTGACAGGGATGGTGGCCAGCCAGGGACAGTGATGGCAGAATGCTTGTGGTCCACTAGTGAGTGAGATGCCTGGAGACAAAACTGAGATGCAGCCTGGCCTCAGTGAAGTCCTGTCACTGGCTGTGTGCTGTGTGCATCCCCACAAGGCATATCCACAGCCCCTTTCCTTTTGGGTCACGTGCTTTATATTCAAGCCATGAAGCCCCACCCCATACCTGCTCAGCCATTCCACAGGTGATAGCTGCAGCCACTGTAGTGTTGATTAGATCTTCTGTAATTGAAACACTACAACTATGACCTGCTTGCTGTGGGGGCTCCCCGGCCACTTTTTGGATTCTGTACCATCCCCTCCTGACCTCTGAGAGCTCATCTTGGGGGATCTTGGCCAGATAGGGTCCCAAACAGTGAACTTAACCAAAGTAGAAGAGTCTGCTATGGGGCCCTTGGGATATTCTGGAGCATGAGGACCCGGAGCAGGGTCAGCCCTGGGAGGGCAGTGCCCAGGAAGAGGCTTAAACCACAAAGACCAGTGATGGGTCAGCACCTGGCCAAGGGAAGGTGGGCTGGGAGCAGGAGGAGAACAGGTAGGAGGCTGACCTGCAGTAGCAGACTCGTCTGGAGGGGCAGTGCAAGGCCTGGTCCTGAGGGTGGAAAGCAGATAAGGAACATGGGTGTGTCTGAGAGGTGCTCCCAGAGCAGAGAGAATGAGGAAAGAGGTGCTCTGGGGGAGCTGGTCTAGGGCTGCAGGGAAAGTGATGTTGGCCTCTCTTCTGGGCCCACCTCCTTCTCTTTCTTCTCAGCATCTGTGTCCTGACTGGGCACTGCTGATACTTTTCTTTTGGGTCTGGACCCAAGGTGTTGGGCCCTGGGGCTAGGGAGGGCAGGCCGGGTAGTCCCAGCCCACGTTGATCATAAGTGCTATGGCATTTGCATGGTCCTCTTTCTTTCCTTGGTCCCCCACAGTACGTCCGAGTCTCCCAGGACACACCCTCCAGCGTGATCTACCATCTCATGACCCAGCACTGGGGCCTGGATGTCCCCAACCTCCTCATCTCAGTGACCGGAGGGGCTAAGAACTTCAACATGAAACTGAGACTGAAGAGTATCTTCCGGAGAGGCCTGGTCAAGGTGGCCCAGACCACAGGTAGGCACTGAGCCCTGTCCACAGGCAATGGGTGCAGAGTGGGCAAAGTGGGCAGTGGTAGGGGTTCAGGGCTGCGGGGCTTGGAGAAGCCTTGGGTGACCAAGTCCATGTCCCAGCTTGATCAGACTCTCCGGGTCCTCACTTGTACACAGTTCCTTCCTCCACATCCAGCTGCCTCTCTTCTTGCCCATGGCAGGGTCAGCTGCAACACGTAACCCACTAGTGACTCAAGGCCTTGGAGCAATGAACATCCTTAGTGGATGTGAGGGGCCAGAGGCCAGTGGAGGTCAGGCTAACTGTGGGGCCGTCAGTGAGCATTTGGGCAGCTGGATTCCCTAAACTTCCTCTAGTCAGGGAGGGTGGATCATCACCAGCCTTTCCCCTTGGGCACCTGACTCCTGAGATTAGATTATTTCCCAAGGTCACACCTTTAGTGAGAACCAAGCAGGGTCCCGGATCTATGTGGATGATATGAGATGACCTTACCACACTTGCAAGTTCACTTGTCCTGAGCCCCTGGGGTTCCTTTGAGGTGACCTTGATAAGCAGACACAGCTGTAACTCTGAGTAAGTCGGGCAGATGGAGATGATGCACCATTTTGGGAGCCACATGAGCTTGGGATCACCCAGCTTCTCCTGGGCTCTGGGTTTAATAAATGACAACCATGTCTTGGCTGAACATCTTGCTTTGAGTGTGGACTGAACTGTGCCACTCAGGGCTTCATCACTTTGGCCAGCTGCCAGGTGGTGATGGGGCACAGTTGCTCCTTTCTAACTGGATGACCCAAATTTTCTGGACTCTGCCCACTCCCACCATCCTTGCTTATAAACTGACCTCTGCTGTAGGACCTGGATTAATGCCACTAACCGTCTGCCACATGCACTCACAGCTTTTGCGCCCTCTTTCCCTGCCCCCTGCCCCAGTCACTGACATGGTTTTCCTGCTCATGATCCTGTATCATTTTAGTGTTTCCTGTTGCCCACTTACTGCTCAAAGCCACTGCCATGTGTTTTAGATTTCTTAAATGGCGTGCATCCAGGCTGCAATTTCTGAGGTCTGGTCAGCGCTGTGCATGGGGCAGCAGCAGACAGGCCTTTTGCTTATGGGCTGGTGACTGGCTCTGATCACGTGTCTGCTCACTGGAGATGGGGTGGGGGATCAGACCTTGCCTGGGACCTGCTGCTTCATGGCACAGCTGGTGTGCGCTCACGCTCCTCAGCCCTGGAGTCCTTGTGCTTGTGCGTACATGGTAGGCGGCCCCCTGAGCAGGACTTGATGGGAAGTGTCCCCTACTGGGGCCACTGTAAGCCATGTGGTAGTAGACAGGTCCTCTATAGGAAACGGACCCAGGGATCGGGAGCAAGGATACAGCCTACCACCATCGGGTCTCAAACACTGATAGGAAGAGGGGAGAGTTGCAGGTCTGGAAATAGAAGCATGGAGAAACATTCCTGAGGAGCCTGCTCTGGAGCCTGGGACAGAGATGAGACCTGTGGCAGAAAATGGGGTCCCTGTCACTGTCCTCTGTCCTGCCCTTTGCAATGTGGAGAACTGGGTTCCCAGAGCTATAACAGAGCTTAATCCTGCTTTGGAGATGTGTCTGCTGATGTGTTTGAAAGCCCCTGAATGTGGAGGAGCAAGTGTTAAGGAGCACAGAGAAACTCTGGATGTTAGCTTTTGCACGGTGGGGTGCGCATGAGGACCAGGAGGCCTGCTCACACCTGTCTCTTTCCCCAGGGGCTTGGATCATCACAGGGGGGTCCCATGCCGGCGTGATGAAGCAGGTGGGCGAGGCAGTGCGGGACTTCAGCCTGAGTAGCAGCTACAAGGAAGGGGAGGTGATCACCATTGGAGTGGCCACCTGGGGCACCATCCACAACCGGGAGGGACTGGTCCACCCCATGGTGAGTGGGTTTCTCCTGAGGGGGTCCAGGGACAGAGGAGGTGGGCTGGGAAGGAATGAGGGAATGTGAGCTCTTCCCAGACACAGTAGGGAGCGGCCACTAGCTGGGAAGTGTGGAGGGAGGGAAGAGGTGGGACAAGATGCAGGAGATCTGGTGTAGGTCCTGGCCATGCTGCAGACCCGTGTGAGCAGGACAAGCAGCTAAGGTGGCTGGATTCTGGTCTCCTCCCTCAAGATTACAAGATGGATCCACAGGAGGGCCATCCAAGAGCCACCATTGAAGAGGGTGCATCCTAAAAGCTGCTCTGATGACAGTCCATGGGAAACAGACTTATAGGAAGCCAGGATAGGACCTGGCTAAGATCACACAACATCTGAGTTGGACTGAGCAGGATATCTGATCCCAAAGCTTGAGCTCTGAACGCTGACTTTCTCCATCAGAGGTGTCCCGCCCAGGAGTCCCACTGTGCCGTGGTTTCTGGCAGTCATTGCTGATGTAGGCTTCCCCTCAAGGCTGAAGACAGAGACTCTGCCTAACCAGCTGCAGCTGGGAGAAGCAATTGCTTAAGAATGGAGAGTTGAGCTCGGAGAGGTAGATTGATACCTGAAGAAGATGTACTAGGGACACATTTGATTTGGCACCATGAGGACACGTGCACTTGGTTCACATGGTCAGGACATTCAGGAACAACATTCTCTGGAGGTTCCTTTCCTTGTTACTGACAGCGCATGTGTTCACAGCCTCTCTAGCACGGTGGTTCCCTTCGTCAGACACAGCCGCCAGCGGGGGGAGCAGCAAGGCCTGGTGGCCTTCCTCTTCCTTTGGGTCAGAATCATGGCGTGTTTATCTGGGGAGGATGGCCAGACTGCTCTGCTTTGCATATTCACCTTATAGAGTGCAAGATAGCCAGAGAGAGGGCAGGTGACTTCAGGATCACTCTTTACTTTTCTCCCTAATCTGAGGTCAACAGATTTTCCATCTTCTGCTGGTCCATCCACTGTGGACAGCGGAGGGTGTGTGTTCTGGTCCAGCGGCCATCTCCAGGTCAGTCTCCTGGGGCCATGGTAATGAATGGTCACAACTCTCATGGTGGCTCAAAAAAATGGAGATTTTGTTTTTCTCCCAGGGTTAGAGGTCTGGACTCAGCATCACTCAGCTACAGTCAAGGGGTGGACAGACTGCACTGGGGATGGTCCTTCCTGCCCCTTCCAGGTTCTGGTGACTGCTGGGACTCCCTTGGCTCATGGTTACCTCATCTGATCTCTGTCACATTGCTGCCTCTGTGTATTTGTGCCTTATTTTCCTGTGTTTTCTTGTAAGGCACTTATGATGGAATCTAGGCCCCCCAGGTGATCCAGGTCACCTCCTCATAGCAAGGTCCTTAACTCACTCACACCTGCAGAGAGCCTTTTTCCAAATAAGGCAGCACTTACAAGGCCCAAGGGTGGGGACGTGGTATCTCTGCATGACCATTATCCAGTCTACTAGAGATTCTCGTCCACCCCACGTGCAAAATGTATTCATCCTCCCCGCCACGCCCAAATTATCAACCCATTTTAGTCTCAACCCAAAGTTCAAAATACCACCTAAATATCATCAGCTCTAAAGTTCCAACTCTTATCATGTAAATCAGGTTAGACTCTGGGTCTTGTCCAGCCTGGGTCAAAATTCCCCCTCACGTGTTTACCTGTGGAGCTGAAAACAAGTTCTCCCCTTCCAAAGTACAGTGGTGGGTCACGCATCCTGCAAATCAGAGATGTTCTCATTACAAAAGGGGGCATGGAAGGAAGGAAGGGATCTCTGGTCCTAAGCAATTCCAAGATCCTGCAGGGGAAATTCCCAGGTTATAATCCTGGGGATAATCCTCTGTGGCTTGAGGCTCTGCCCTTGGGCCCCTCAGGTGGCCTTAGATGACCTCTCTTTTTCCTTGAGGATCATCAGCCTATCTTCTGCTTGAAGGGTTTTGGGAGTCTGACTGCCTTCTTTCATTCTGTCCTGTTTATGTTCCTTTCAGTACAGGTTTTCAGGGCTTTTGTTGATAGCACATTCCTTGTGGGTCCTTGTGCATGTTGTAGGGGTTTATGACAGTGGACAAGCAGATCCTCCACAGGTCTGTCTTGGATATCATCGTCTCTTTTCCTGACATCTTCTGATCTGGTTGGGCAAGTCCATGATCACATGCCTGATTCCTCTGTCCCTAGTAAAAAGTCCCCCAGCCACACCTGTGGCCCTCTTTCTTGAGTGTGGTTTTCAAATAGTGAAACTCTTAATTTTTAGCACTCTCTGCAAGCTAGATAGGTTGAAAATTTCCCCAAATCATCAAGTCGTGGTTCCTTTTTGCCTATCAGCTCTTCTATCCATTTATCTCTTTCCTTTTGCATTTTATAAGAAGCAGCAAGAAGTCAGCTTGCACCTTCAACATTTTGCTTGGCAATTTCCTAGGCTTAATATCCAAACATAGCACTTCTGATTCAGCTTTCTGCACAACTCTGCAACACAACTCAGCTAAACTTGGCCACTGTGTAGCAAAACCATCCGTCTCCAGAAAAATAACACATTTCTCATTGCCTTCTGAGCCTTCACCAGCAATGTATGGATTCTCCGAGAAAATAAAAGCTTTCTTTTCATGCTCCTTGCTTCTTTGTGAGCTGTCACTAGCAATGTGTTCAGCATCCATGTTTCTACCAACCGGGAACTGAGACCTCTTCTGTCCTCGTGTCTTAAAATCCTTCCATCCTCTACCCATTTTTACCCAGTTCCGCAGCTATGCCTATGTTTGTAGGTGTTTGATCCAGCAGTCCGCCTCTTAACACCTAACTCTGTGTGAGTTTCTGTGACTGCTTAAAGCAGCAGGAAGTTCCTTGGTCACATTTCTGGAGGACAGAACTCTGAAATCACTACCACTAGGTTAAGCTAAAGGTGCTGTGACAGGGCCACCCACCCTCCAAGAGTCTCTTGGGGAATCCACACCTGGTCTCTTCCAGCTTCTAGTGACTCTAGGCTTTCTATGACTTGTGGCTGCACCACTCCTCCTGTGCCTCTGGTCACATTGCCTCTCCCTCTGCTTCTGTCTTGAGTTGGTGCTTTGGGCCCACTCAGACAATCCAGGTTAATATTCCTGTGTTAAGATCCTTAATAATATCTGCAAAGACCCTTTCTCTAAGTAAGGTAACACTTGCAAGTCATTGTGATTAGGACTTGATATCACTGGGGGGACATTATCCAAGCTACTCCTGCCCCCCATTCCTAGCATAAAGGTTCAGAACTTTCCATCAGTCTGTCTGACTCTTCCCCGGCCATCCCCAGGGTGGCTTCCCTGCTGAATACCTATTGGATGAGGAAGGCCAAGGGAACCTGACCTGCCTGGATAGCAACCACTCCCACTTTATCCTCGTGGACGACGGGACCCACGGCCAGTATGGGGTGGAGATTTCCTTGAGGACTAAACTGGAGAAGTTCATATCGGAGCAGACAAAAGAAAGAGGAGGTAAGGCAAGTATGCCTCTGAGTGCGCTTGGGGCAGAGAGAGCAGCTGGTCCGTCAGGTGTCAGAGAGAGCCATGACCCCAACCTCGAATGGGCACAGTCCTGTTCAACGCACCAGCATTCCTTCCTTGAATCTCTGCACGCTTGTTTGGGGGCCCTCTTGTCTTGCCCCTTTAACCAGTGGAAGGAAAGTCAGTGAGGGCTTTCAACTTCTTGTGCACTCTCAAGTAATAGAATATCCTACAATCATTTAGTGTATTTATTTACTTTTTACTTTTTTGGTGACAGGTTCTGAAATGAGAGCTTGCAGGGTGAGGTGACTCATGCCTATAATCCCAACGATGTGGGAGGTGGAGGTAGTAGGATTGTGGTCTGAGGCTGACCCTGTGCAAAAATTTAGTTTGTTGGAAAATAAAGCAAAAAGGGCCAGGGGATGGTTCAAGTGGTAGAGGACTTGCCTAGTAAGCATGAGGCCCTGAACTCAGCCCCAGCACTGACAAAAGTACCCAAAACAAAAACTCAGAGCTTGACATCATTTCCCTTGTGGGTGAGAGACAGGGTCCAGGACTGTGGGAGGCACAGGCAGGGCTCTGCACATGACTGGAGGAGGAGGTGCAGAGGATCCATGGCCCCAGGACTCTGACTGCACAGTTCTGGGGGAGGAGGCCTTGAACTCCTCCTAAGTCCCCAGGGGGTGCTGATGCTGCTGATCTTGGAGAACTCAGGGTGGAGTGTGAGAAGACAGGGGTCATTGATGGCCCTGCATAGTTCGCTGTCCAGGGAAAGGGATTCCTCAAGTCATCTGGATAGAAAGTGCAGGGTATGCTGAACAGAAGAGTAGGGGGACAGGGTCCCCTGCTAGATGTTCTCTTGGGCCAGCCTAGATTTTAAGACTCTGTAAAAAGGTTGCAGAGATAAGCAGGCTGGCCACGATGACCTGCTGAGCAGAGGGCACGGGGGACCAGGGTGCCAGCTCTGATTGTCCGCAGTTCTCATCCTTTCCTCCCACCCAAGAAAGTGAACAGACACGGGGTGGGATGCAGGCGAGTGGGAGGGGTATCGTCAGATGCTCTGTGCTTGCTTGTTTTTGTGGAATGAGCAAGTCGCATGCAAACCTGGCAGAGTCCCCTTCAGCAGCTGCTCATTACCTGCGTGTGACACAGCCCAGCTGGTGCTTCACACATGACTAGGCTGGAGTCGATAGGTGGGGAGGTGACCCCAAGTGGAGGGCGTGTGCCCCACGTGCCCTCAGGTGGGCTCTGTACTCCCCTAGGTGTGGCCATCAAGATTCCCATCGTCTGTGTGGTGCTGGAGGGCGGTCCAGGCACGCTGCATGTGAGTACAGTGCTGCGTGGGGTGAGTTTGCTGATGAAGGAGGGACTGGCTTGAGGGGCTTTTGCCACATCCTGGAGGCATCACCAGCAGGACAGGGTGCTGAGCTGTCCCCAAGGGAAAGAGAAATGGGGGGCCCACCATGTGACAGGGTCGTTTCTAGGAGACTGAGGAGGGCAGCTACAGATGGCTGCAAGGGGCTGCCTGCTGGCTCTGTCTCAGGACCCCTGGGTGTTATCAAAGTCCACCAGACTGCAGGCAGTGTTTTTAGAGTACAGGCCCTTGCCTCTCCCAGCTGCTGGTGGTGGGGAGTCGAAGAGCAGTATTAAAGCAGATCCATCAGGTGGTTTGAATTGCTGCTGTCTGATCTTCGTTCAAAGCCACTCTGCGGTGTGTGGTTTGCCTCCTTCATGGACGCTAGCCAGATCTACCTATGGGAAGAATTAATGGATTGGGGGTGAGACTGTGGGCATTTTGTTTATGGGATCATAGCAAATGTCCCCGTCTTCATTTTATGATCTCAGAGGTCAAAACAGAGCCCTGGAGTCTCCTGGCTGGATGGGGGTCTGCTGCATCCTATGCCCATCCCTAGCCAGGCTGAGTCCCCCTTGTGCTATCCTGCAGGTGGGTCACGCTGTGCTTCCTCACGCCAGGGCAGGCCCCATGTCCTTCTATCGGGGCCTTCCAGCATCTGTGCATGCACTGGATCCCAGAGTTCTTCTCATGGTCCTGCTGTTTCCTGGGACTTGGTCACTCTGGGCTCACACAGAGTGACCTTGGGAATGTGACAAAATCTTTTTATCACAGTGGTGTGAGCAACAGGCCTGAACAGGGTATATCAGGTGTGCTCCCTCAGTGTGTCAGGAGTGGCTCCTTAGTCCCTTAGAGCAGTTCAATGCTACCAAGCTAGCGATTGCTTCCAGTAAATTCCAGCCTCAAAGCTTCATTCCCGTAGTGAGTGAGCTGGCCTGAGCTGCTGTTGAAGGAGGCTCTACCTCAGAAGTGTCAGAGCAAGGCGAGGATGGCATCCTGCTCACACTCTGACCTGGTCTTACAGACCATCTACAATGCCATCACCAACGGCACGCCCTGCGTGATTGTGGAGGGCTCAGGCCGTGTGGCTGATGTCATCGCCCAGGTGGCCGCCCTGCCAGTGTCTGAGATCACCATCTCCCTGATCCAGCAGAAGCTCAGCATGTTCTTTCAGGAGATGTTTGAGACCTTCACCGAAAGCAGGATCATCGAGTGGACAAAAAAGGTGAGTGAGACAGTCATGCAGTCCCCAGGCCTGAGGGGATTCCCAGACTGTACACCTGAAGAGACCAGTACTCAGGGGACCTGAAACAGACAACCCCACGGGGGAGTGGGTACAGAAGTGATTAGCACAGGGTGAGGGCCTTGAGCCTGAGGAAGCCTCCTGGGTAGGCTTGGGGAGACTGGATGATGTGACAAGGGAGGGCACAGCTTGAATTTCATTCACAGATGGCCTGGGCTGTGCTGGACACTGTGGCCCGAGATCACTGTTCTGGAACAGCCTGCTGGATTGGCAGGGGCGTGGCTGCTGGGAGGAGGCCCAGGAAAGGGCCCAGGAAGGGGCGGCCCAGGCTGGACCTTGGCTGAGATTTGGGAAGCAGAGGAGCTGCCAGGGCACAGCAGCAAGGGACAGGGTCTGGTCAGCCTCACAGTAGCATTAATGGACACTTTTGGAGTGGCCTTAGAAGCTCCCATCTCCCTACTGGGGAGCTGGATTTCAGGTGGTTCCTGATGAACTCTGCAGGTGCCCCACGTCCCATGACCTAGTCAGCACAGGGGTCCATTGTGAGGTCATGCCTCCTCACCCAGGAAGCCCCTGAGCCAGCGCCAGTGGCTGCTAGCTTTTGTGGTCACCTCCATATCCCGCACTCAGAACCCAGAGCCTGGGACTCATGAATTCTACGACCACCTGTCCTGTTTCCTAGTGGGATTCTTGAGGGTTACTGATGCTTCTCTGGTCTCAGTTGTTGGCAAGGCAGTGAGCATCTGAACCTTCCCCACAGCTCCCCACAGGACAAAGTAGGTCCTGAATGTACCTGGATGCTCGTGCGCAGGGCCTTACGTGTGACGTGTGCTTTGTCAGGCACCAGGTTGAGTGACCTCAACTGTGCTGAATTTCAGTTCTGTGGGCAGCCAGGGCCCACTAACCACAGACCGCAGGACACATCACAGCTGACCACACTGGGCTGTGACTCATTGACATAGGGGCATCAGAGAGGACTTGTCTCAGGACTCAGGCTCTGTAGTATTTATTTTTCTTTTTGTCAGTACTGGGGTTTGAACTTAGGGCCTTGCTGTTGGTAGGCAGGTCCTCTATCACATGAGTCACCTCTTCCCTGTCCCCTGAAGGACTTAGGCTCTGGTTAGGAAGAGGGGCTCCATGAGTGGGTGACTCGGTGGTGGCATCATGACCATTTTTTAAGCTTTGCCAAGAGCTCAGAGTGACCTTGTTTGGTGTGGCTGTCCTGTGAGGTTGTCTGTCTCACAGGGAAAGAGCATAAGTTCACGTGAGCTCTGATGGTTTGTGAATCTGTGAGTTCCACTCCTGATTTTGGGACCCCTTCTCACCTTCCCTCACTGCCACAGCGAACTGCCAGGCATGTCCTGGAGCCTTTCTCAGCTAGGTCACAAATTATTTAGGCAATGGGAGAACTGACTCTAATCTGATGTTGTCTATTTAATCAAATTTTTAATCTGCTTATCTTCTTAATCAGCTCTTTGATGTGAGTGTTTGTTCTGCACCCACTCAGGCCTGACCGAGGGATTCTTTTGCCACTATTCTTGCTCCATGCTCTTGGTCAGTTCATTCCTTCAAAAGTGTCCCTGGGGGCTGGCAGAGTGACTCAAGTGGTAGAATGCCTGCTTAGCAAGTGTGAGGCCCTGAGTTCAAACCCCAGTACTATCCCCCCAAAAAAGCATGTCTTCAGACTGTTGCTTTATGCTGTGGAGGCTGACAAGGATGGTGGGGGCGCTCAGATGCAGTGCACTGGGCCTGGACGCCTGCTGAGGGAGTCTCACTCCAGGGCTGTGCAGCCATACATAGCCAGTTGTCTCTGGGCCCTGGAGGCATTGGTTTCCCTGGTCTCAGCATTGCTTTTCTGTGTGTAAGACAGGAACAGTGCACACTTAAGCTGACTGATGGTGAGACCTACGGGAAGTGCTTGGCATCTTGTCAGCCCTTGGCATCATGCCTGGCAGCTGCTTTATTGTACAAACGAAGTGCTGGGTAAATTCAGGAACCCTAGTTTAGCGGGTGGAGGGGAGTGGAACTGGGGAGGAAGCCCAGGAGGTTTTTGAAGTTGCCATGAAAGCTGGACTATGAAGGATGGGGAAACACTGGGGTGGGGTTTGTGGGTGTGTCCCCAGGGGTGGGGAGAGTCTGCACATGGCATTGGGGCAGTGTGGCCAGGCTGAGAGGAGGCAGGAATGCAGGTGAGGCTGGTGTGGTATGGGGAGGGGGCCTGGAGCTTCTTGCAGGAGCAGCGGGCAAACTGGCACGATGCATGTGTGGAGTGCCCGCCCTGGATGCAAAGTGAAGGGTGGGGTAACTGGTATCAGGCATAGCTGCTAGGAAATGTTATGACAGATGTAGACAGACAGATGGTAAATGAGTGGATGGGCATGTGGATGGTAGATACATAAGTGGACAGATACATGGATGGATGGATGGATGGATGGACACATTGAAAGATGTATTCATGGATGGGTAGATAGATACATGGATAGATCAATGATAGATAATTGTATGGATGATAGGTGTCTGGATAGGTGGATCGGTACATTGGTGGATAGAGGGATGGATGATAAATGCATGGATGGATGGATGGATGGATAGCTAGAGGTAGATACAGGTATAGATCAGTAGGTACACATGTGTAGATATCTAGAAACGTGGGTAGATGAATAGATGATGGATGGTTTGGGTGGATGCTTAGGTGGGTGGGGAGGTGGATAGAGACAGGTAGGCAGGTGGGGAGTGGAATGGCTTGAGCTCAGGCAGGGGGACCAGGAGAAGTGTTGATCCAGGATGACACGTGGGTGACGTTTTCTTACAGTGTGATGTGTTTGGTCTTTGTCTTCACCATCTAAGGTGAGAGGAGGGGAACTGGTAGACTTCCCATACAGGGAAGGCAGGCAGACCTTTGCTTAGGGTTCTGAGTCGTGTTGGGCTTTGGCTCCATGTGTGTGTGTTTTTTTTAATTGTTGTGCTGGTTTATGTGTCCTTAAAGGAGACAGGGCATCACTTTGCATCTCACTTGGAACATGTTTGTTGTAGATCCAAGACATCGTCCGACGGCGGCAACTGCTGACCGTCTTCCGGGAAGGAAAGGATGGCCAGCAGGATGTGGATGTGGCAATCCTGCAGGCCTTGCTGAAAGGTGAGAGTCAGGGGAGGTGGAGGTTACAATGCCGGTGATCAGGATGGGGGTCCTGGTCTAGAGAGGCCACAGTACTTGCCCTCAGTTGGACACGTTGGCCAGAGGGCACTGGTGGTAGTCATGCTGCCTCACTGCTGCTATTCGAGAAACTCAACAAACACACAGTAAGATGAACTCAGAGACATATCACCATCAGCCTTCAAGAGCCAGGACAAAGAATCTGGAAAACAGCAAGAGTCTTGAAAGCAGCCTGTTACATACAAGGGATCCTGGGTAAGATTATCTGCAGATTTCTCAGCAGAAACATGAAAAGCTGGAGGCAGAGGGCCATTACAGTCAAAGTGCTACAGAAAAGATTCAACCAGGAATCCTGTATCTGGTGAAACTGATTCAGAAGTGAGGGAGAAATGAAGACCTTCCCAGATATGCTGAGGGAGTTCATTACCACTAGACCCGTGGTATAAGAAGGACAGGGGTGCAGCTCAGTGAGACAGTGTTTGTCTAGGATGTTCAAGATCCTGGTAGCGCACCTGCCTAGCAAATGTGAGGCCCTGAGTTCAAACCCTAGTACCACCAAAAATATATCTATATCTGTATCTGTATCTATCTGTGCATATATCAGTCTAAAAGCTAGTATTGTTGTAACTGACATTTTGTTTTCCTTATAATTTATGAGGCTAATGCATTTAAAGGAATTACTAGTGTGTGTTTTAAGGCACATTCTATGTAAATGTGTAATTTTTTGATATTAATAATAAAAATGGCAGGGCAGAGTTGTTGGAGGGGCACAGATTTTATATGTAACTGAGGTTAACTTGGCACACATCCAAGTCGTAGTTTTTAACTTTAGGATGTTGAATGTGACTCCTAAGATAACCACAGAGACAGTGGCTATAAAGTATGCACAGGAGGAAATGAGAAAGGAACCTAAACATTTCACATCAAAAAATCAGCTGAACATAAAAGAAGACAGTAATGCAGGAAATGGGGAGCAAAAAGCTTTTTTGTTTTCTCGTGTGGTGCTGGGGATGGAAGCCAGGGCCTTGCACAGGGGCGCCAAGTGCTCTATCACCCAGCTACACCCCAGTGAGGAGCGTATAGAGAACAGCTAAGTGACAGAAGTCAGCCCCTTCTCGTTGGCACATTCTTCAATCATAGGACAAAGATTGACAGAAAAGGTAAGACCACGATTCAGTCATATGCTGTCCACAAGATCACGTTAGGTCCAAATAGACAAATAGGTTGGACACCAAAGGACATAAGAAGATATCCCATGTCAATAAATGGAAAGAGAGCAGGGGTGGCTGTACTAATATGGAACAATTATATTTTAAATAAAAAGCTGTAAGACAAAGGAGAACAGTATAGACTTATAAACGTTTCAATAAACAAGAAGCAATAACAGCAATGTCCTAAGAAGAAGCTATTAAAATACACGAGGCCAACAGAATTGAAGGGAGAAGTGGAGGTTTCTGCAATAATTCTTGGATGCTTTGTATCCCCTCTCAATGACGGTAGGACAACTAGACAGAACACAAGGGAGAAAGCAGTGACTTCGACACCCCAAGCCAGCCAGCAGCGGCACCCCCTCTTCTCAGGTGCTCGTGGGATGCTTTCCAGGAAAGGCCACAGGTCAGGCCACAGAGTCAATCACAGCCAATCTCTCGGGAGATTTGAGAAGATTGGTGTCGTGCAAAGTATCTCCCGTGCCTACAATGAGCCAAGTTAGAGACCTAACACAAGCAAAAGCGGAAAGTCCACATGTTTGTGGAAATTAAACAACACACTGTTAGAAGTAACAACTGAATCCAGCAAAGGAGCGAAACGCACCGCTGATGCAGAAATCCATTGCGTTTCTATTCACCAGCCGGCATGGGGACAATTCCATTTACAGTAAGTAGCCTCAAACAGAATAAAATACTCAGGAATTAACCAAGGACCTGAGATAGATAGCTGCAAAGAAAACGAGGGGACGTAGCTGAAAGAAAGGAAGAAACGGCGATCACGCCGTGTTCGTAGATTGGAAGACCGTGTTAAGATGTCAGTACTTGCCTCAGTGATCTTGACTTTGGGCGGTAAGTTCTGTCACATGTGTCGTGCCACACTGGAGAGTTTCACAGCAGCGGAGCCACCCGTTCTGTGTTCATTCATGTCCGGCTCCTTTGCTCAGTGCTGTGGTTCTGGAATACTCCTTCATGGGCGCGGATGTATCAGAGCTCGCTCCTTTTTACTGCTGAGCAGTATTCTATTTGGAGAATTTTGTGAGTCTACCACAACTTATTTTCTATTCATCTGCTGATGGGGCTATTTGAGTAAAGCCATTACTTTTCATTTTCCCTGGATTAACAATTGAGGAGTGGCATTACTGGTCTTCATAAGATATGCTTGACTACAAAAACAGCCGAAGTGTTTTCCAAAAGTATCGTGCCATTTGATCTTGCGGCCACAACGAATGACAGCTCCATTTGGTCCTCATCCTCACCAGTGCTGGGTGTTGTCAGTCGTTTACACTCCAGCTCCACAGTGGTGTGAAGCGGTGTCTCCATGTGCTTTGAATTTGCATTTTCTGGTTAGTGAGGATGGGGAACACTATTTCTTGGAGTTTTGGGCATTTTTTTCTGGTGAAAGATCTTTCATGTCTTTTGCCCATTGAAATTTGGTTACTTCTCTTCCTGTTCTTGAGTTGTAAGACTCTTGGTAAGTCCGTGGTCAGATGGATACTCGGGAACACTTCCTCTTGGTTTGTGGTTTCTGTCTGTCTTCTCTTCCAGGTGTCTGAAGAGCAGAAGGCTTATGTTTTAATGACGTTTAATTGGTCACTTTTTCCTTTGTGGTGCATGCTCTCTGTGTCCTGCTCAGGAAATCTTTCCTATCCAAGGCTGGAGCAGCTGAACAGACAGCTTTGTAATTAGGTTGAGGGTCCACCTTAGGTGGACTTCGGGGTGTGGCTTGAGGTAAAGGTCAAAGTTCTTTTTTTCCCGTCTCCAAATAATCCATGGTTTAAAAAGTTGAACTAGAATAAGAGTGAGAAGTGTTTGGGTGAAGTTCTCGTCCTGGGCACGTGGGCTGCTGCTTTTGAGTAGTTAGAGAACTGAGGCAAGCCAGGAATGGTGGCACACGCCTGTGATCCCAGCTACTGGAGAGGTAGAGATTGGAAAGATCAAAGCTTAGGCCAACCCAGGCAAAAAGTTATGAGACCCTCATCTCAACAAACAAGCTGAGCACGGTGGCACATGCCTGTCATCTCAGCTATGCAGGAGGTGTAAGTAGGTGGATTGTGGTCCAAGGCCAGCTCTGGGACAAAAATGTGAGACCCTATCCAAAAAAAAACTTCAGAAAAGAGGACTGGGGGTGTGGCTCAAGTGGTAGAGAGCCTACCTAGCAAGTGTAAGCTCTGAGTTCAAACCCCATTACAGAGAGAGGGAGAGAGAGATGGGGAGAGAGCAGGGAGAGAGAGAGAGAGACAGAGAGAGAGAGAGAGAATTTAGGCAAATAAGGAAATGTCTTGCCTTTTGAAGTGCTAGTTTTTGACTGCTAATGTAGAATGTCTGCCTTTAGAGGCCTTCTTGAAATCACGAGTTCCTTCCTCACATCACAGCCCACTGTGACCAGGGGCAGGGTGAGGTCAGAAGTTGGGTGCAGCGTGGGGAAGGAGGGTGGACTAAAGTGATGACTAGAGCCCGAGGGTCTCTGCGTGTAACCATGAAATCGTTTTACAAGAGCAGGCGTCTTTGGGGAGGATGCCACAAGTCGTCACTGAGTTCATGACTTTAAATTATTGAGAGAGTGGACTTCACGACCGACTCCTGGCTCTCTGGCTTTGAGCCCAGATCTCAGCCCCTGACCCCAGGGTCTCACCTGCAGCCTCTCGGAGCCAAGACCACTTTGGCCACGAGAACTGGGACCATCAGCTGAAGCTGGCCGTGGCGTGGAACCGTGTGGACATCGCCCACAGCGAGATCTTCACTGACGAGTGGCAGTGGAAGGTGAGGCCATGCCGGCTGTGCCGCAGGGGACTTGCTGGGCCCATGGGAATTGTGTCTGGGAAGCAAGGACAGCCCTGGGGGCCAAGGCCTGGAACTCAGCCCTGCCTCGGGGGTGGCTGACCAGGCAAGTTCCATCCTGCCCAATAGAGACAACAGTCCCCCACCCCAGGTTTGGGGTTCAGTGACCCAACACAATGGTCACTGTCACGGTGCTTGCTCTCAGCCCTCAGATCTGCACCCCACAATGACAGCCGCCCTCATCTCCAACAAGCCAGAGTTCGTGAAGCTGTTCCTGGAGAACGGGGTGCGGCTGAAGGAGTTTGTCACATGGGACACCCTGCTCTACCTCTACGAGAACCTGGAGCCGTCCTGCCTGTTCCATTGCAAGCTGCAGAAGGTGCTGGCCGAGGAGTCCGAGCGCCTGGCCTGCCCGCCCGCCGCATCCCGGCTGCAGATGCACCATGTGGCCCAAGTGCTGCGCGAGCTCCTGGGGGACTCCACACAGCCACTGTATCCCCGGCCCCGGCACGGGGACCGGCCGAGGCTCTCGCTGCCTGTGCCACACATCAAGATCAACGTGCGTGCTGGTGACGTGTGGCCCGGCTGCACTCCCAGGACTGGGCGGTGTCCTCGGAGCTGTGGGTGGAGGATGAGCTCCTAGGTTTAGTAGAGCAGGAGCAGCTCCTGCCACAGATTATGGGGGAAAGAGAGAGAAGGAGGGAAGGGGGAGAGAGAGGGAGAGGGAGAGAGGAAGAGAATGAATGAAAAAGGACACAGTCCTGCTGGGCATCGGTGGCTCACGCCTGTAATCCCAGCTACTCAGGAGGTAGAGAACAGGAGGATCATGGTTCGAAGCCAGCCTGGACGAATAGGTCCATGAGACCCTGTCTTGAAAGAAACCTATCACAAAAAGGGCTGGTGGTGGCTCAAGGTGTAGGCCCTGAGTTCAAGTCTCAATACCACAAAAAAAAAGGACACAGTCCTATTGGATTAGGACTCCACCCTATAACCTCATTTCATATTGCAAGTTAAGACTTCAAATTTTAGGGGGACACAGTTTGGCTCTTAACACTCCTTTTCTAAAAAGGGCCAAGAGGTGACCCCCTCTGCCTTGTCACTATCACCTGTCATGCTCACCAAGTGAGGGACACTGTGGCATGTGTCCTTCTTTAGTGGTATCCAGGTGGTGGCTGAGGACGGTGCTGTACAGGGGACTGAGCCTCAGCAGGTAGCCCTGCGGAGGGCCACTCCACTTTTCTCCCTTGACTCATGAATCTCACGACTCATTTCATCGGCTTTCTGAGAGCAAAGCACGTCTTTATTCCTGATTTGGAATCTCAGCTTGAGTGTGGCGGTGTCCGTGTTTGTACGATGCTGGATTTGGCCAGTGTTCCGGGTTTTTGCACTGGAATGTTTAAACCTTTGATTGCAATTTTATTCTGGGGCTGTGTTTGTCAGGTTTTGGTATCGGTTTATGTTGGCTGTGTGGGAATGATTGGGAAGTTTTCTCACTTTCTCTGCTTTGATACGTTCGTGTGGCTCGTGTGGCTTCCTGCCTGTTCAGCATCCTCCCGTGTGTCTGTCTGGGCCCAGTGCCTTTTTTTTGTAGCAGTTCTGATAAGTTTCTACATTTTTCCTGATTATTTCTCTGTTTAGGTTCTCTGTGTCTTTTAGGATTAGTTTTGCTTTTTTCTGCTGGAAACTTTCCTGTTTCTCCCATTTTTCCAGGTGACCCTTGCCTGACTCCTGATGAAGACATAGTGGTAGCTGGGTTTTGTATAGTCACAATTTCCTGATTCCAGGGTTGGGTGGCAGGTCCCAACTGGAATGTGCTCAGGGGTTCAGACTAGAAGCTCACACTTCCCTGTGGCTTTAGGTTGAGACGATAGCGAATTTCTTTATGAGGATAACCCTGGAGAGTTTCTAGACTCGCTGAAATGTGACTGGGCATGTGATGGGGTTCTCTACCTGTGGAAATTGTTTTCAGGACATCTGAGAACATGTCTACTCAGCCAGAAAGCCGGGCTTCCCATGCTGCTGTGTAGGCTGAGGGTGTCTGAGCTGAGTGTTCCCTACTGTTGAGGAGGCCACCCACTGCCCATCTAGCATCTCTTCATGGTGGCCTTCTCGTTCCCAGGGAACTCATGGCCATGATTCTACACACAGACTACAGAATTTACCTCACTGGAAAAAGGCCTTATTGCCACCAGATGTGACTTAGGAACTCTGAGGTGCTGGGCTTGTTACAAGGGTCCAAAAATGTCCGTGAAAGAGACAGATCCCACATTCTAGATGTTTCTAGACATTTCCAGAACAATGGTGTGTTAGTCAGCTTTCTGTTGCTATGACAAAATACATGAGATGATAAACATATGAACAAAGGTCCATTTTGGCTCACAGATTTGAAAATTTCAGCTCAGGATTAATTGTCCTTGTTGCCTTTGGGCCTGTGGTGGCCCATCATGGCAGAAGCGTGTGACAGAGGAAGTAGTTCACCTTATTTATGGTAGTTGGGGAGAGAAAAAGAGACAGGGGAAGCAGCTGGGGTCCCAATATCCCCTTCAAAGACACATACCCAATGCCCAAGACCCCTGCAACTGGGTCACACCACTTTCCAGTGGTGCTGCAAGCTGGGGACTAAGTCCTTATTTAATCCATGGGCCTTCTGGGGACGTTCAAGACCAAACTATAATATGTTTTTTACAACTGCCGTGCGCCTCGGGCATTACTGAGGATGCAGTTTGTGGGCTCAGTCTCCAGGGACAGTGGTCCTGAGAGGGTCAGGCAGGGCAGGATCTGCACTCCAGAAGCCCCCAAAATTCCATCTGGGGCCACTGTAGGACTCAGACTGTCCACTGCCCACCAGGTGCAAGGAGTGAGCCTCCGGTCTCTCTACAAGCGTTCAACAGGCCATATCACCTTTACCATGGACCCTGTCCGCGACCTCCTCATTTGGGCCATCGTCCAGAACCGTCAGGAGCTGGCAGGAATCATCTGGGCTCAGGTAACAGGGCCTGCTTCTCGGCGGCCACAGCCATGAGTCAACCAGAGATGGGAGGCAGGAGAACTCACCGTGCACAGGAAGCAGGGCAGCTTGTGGCTGTGGAGGGGGCAAGGGTTCTGCAGCCCAGGTAGGACTCGGGGTGTCCAGTGCTGGGGAACTCAGCTCTCAGCAGAAAAAGCATTTTGTAAAAAGCCGTCCCAGCAAACTCCTGTGGCTACATCCGGGGCTGAGGCTCATAGGCATCACTGTCCTCTGTGCCCCTTGGGCCCGCCAGGCCAGTGTGTGTCCGGTACACACTATCTAGTGTGGAGGCTCCACAGGACGAGTAGATGGCTCCCACACAGGAGATGGCCGTCAGAGAGCAGTGTTGCTTGGGGGTGACTCAAGCTGTTTATATGGCCAGGACTATAGAAAGGCATTGTCCAATGCTTGTACTGTTCTGGGGGGTCTCTGTTTTCACACCCTGGGCAGTGTGTTGGGTTCCTGGGGCAGGGAGAGGGGTAGCCTGACTGGGCCCTCCAGGTCCTCACTGTGTCTCCCCATCCTCCCCCCGACCCCAGAGCCAGGATTGCATAGCTGCAGCATTAGCCTGCAGCAAGATCCTGAAGGAGCTGTCCAAGGAGGAGGAGGACACGGACAGCTCAGAGGAGATGCTGGCACTGGCTGATGAGTTTGAGCATAGAGCCATTGGTGAGCTTCAGGGGCCTGGGCCCAGACCCTGGCTCAGCCACTTGTGCTCTCACTTGAGGTCTTCATCCCTGGGTCTCAGGGTGACACATGTGGTCACCCTGGGTTCTTAGCCTTGAGTCCTGAGGGCTTGGGGATATCAGCACCACCCCCTCCCTGGTCTGTCTTGTTCCGTGCCACCCTCTATCTGGGGTGCTGTCCGGAGGGCTGGCTCTCTGGCTATCACCTGCTGCTCTGACATGGCTATACTTCCTCTGGCCAGGGGTCTTCACCGAGTGTTACCGGAAGGACGAAGAGCGAGCACAGAAGCTGCTCGTTCGTGTGTCAGAGGCCTGGGGGAAGACCACCTGCCTGCAGCTTGCCCTGGAGGCCAAGGACATGAAATTTGTGTCTCACGGGGGCATCCAGGTGACCACCCAGAATCAGATGCTGGGGCTCTTAGGGCACATGCAGACAGCACAGGCATTCACACAAGTGCGGGTCCTCAGGGCCCAGGGAAGCACCTGGTGTTGGGGCACGTGCTGCTGGACAGAGGTGCACATTTTGCAGAGAGGAAACCGGGTTCGGCAGAAGCTGGTGGCTGGTGGGCTGTGAACACAGTTGCTTGATCCACATGGAAGTTATTTTCTGGGAGCAGCACATGGTACCCAGGGGACCCCAGCAGCCTACTGCACCTGGGGGCCTCAGGAGGGATGGGGGACAGTGTGATCTTTCTGAGCAGGGGGACAAGGGAGCAGGCACTCTCCAATGCCTGGGTTTCCTTGGAGTACATCTTTGAGCTGTCACATGCCTGTGGAGCTCCATGGCATCCTGGGCTGTGTGTCCTGGGCTGTATCCAGCCTGGGGATGCCTGGGGAGGGGTCAAGCCCCTCCCTACAGAGCTGAGAAGAATCAGCTTATGAGACCTGGATCCATGTGGCTTTGAGGTCCTGCAGCTTGAGGAGGGGGACAGGCAGGAGGGGTCAGAAACTGTGGTGGGAGCCCTGCCTCTCTGTCACTTACCACCGTGAGCCTGCAGCCCGCTCTGCCCACCCGGACTCCTGATTCTTCAGCAGGCAGAGGACAGGGTGCTTGTCCCATGCTGGTCACCTGCGGCTGGGGGCTCAAAGAGCATTGTGGGTGTCACTTGCCCTCAGGGAGGGTGTGGCGTGGGGTCAGGTCAGCTGGGTGCCTGCTGTCCTGAGATCCCTGTGTCCACAGGCTTTCCTGACCAAGGTGTGGTGGGGCCAGCTGTGTGTGGACAATGGGCTGTGGCGGGTCATCCTGTGTATGCTGGCCTTCCCGTTGCTCTTCACGGGCCTCATCTCCTTCAGGTGCGGCTGGGCTTTGGGAGGGGCCCCAGGGGACAGGGACCTTCTCTCAGTGGGACGCGTTGCCTGTGTCCTCACAGTGAGGCTGAGAGCTTAGCATGTAGAGATGCATGTGAGCAGGAAGAAGAGCCCTTGTGCTTGCCCTTGGGGTGGGTGTGAGGTGAGGTCACAAGCATCTTTCATGGCCTGACCCACCGTTGTGAGGTGCTGGTGAGCTTTCTCTTGGCCTAAGTTCTCTGGCAATGGGGAGGGAGAAGTGGACTGTGCCCCAAGCACTGAAGATCCAAGTCAGTCCAGGTGGGGGACAGGGAGCCAAAGCTGAGAGCCTTCCTGCTCCTTGGATATGGGTGATGGGTGGAGCCCTCTTCCTTTTAGTGGCTGCCTGTGGCTGAAGACCCAGCCTGGCCTGACCCTGCCTGAGGCCTCCCCAGTAGCATGCGAGGGTCAAGGCATCAATTCTATTTTTCTCGGATCCAGATAGAGGCTCAGGTCCCCTGGAGTCCATGGGGCAGATCCAAGGCCCCAGCCCAGTGGCTGAGCCCCTCCCATAACCAGCAGGTCACACAGTTCATCTCTTTTCTGTGCCCTGGCTACAGGGGACATGGGGCCGAGCTGCTGTCAAACACTCATAATGTCCTGGGGGAAACTGAGGCACTGAGGAGCAGCCCAGGTGTTCTAAAGCAGGGCTCACTTTTCCAGTGTCCTTTCAAGAGGGACAAAGCTGCATCTGCCTTTTCCAGTGGATAAGAGGCCACAGGTCCACATATACCCACGTGGGAGATCTGCTGTCCTGTTCAGGCCTGACCCTTTGTGAATGATGGTGATGGCAGGCTGCCCCATCTGCAGGGTCATGTGAAGCTGAGTGTTCCCCCAGTGCAAGGAGCACTGCAGTGGGGACCTAACCCAGGCTGTGTCCTCAGGGCAGGAGCCTTGTCGTCCACTGCTCTGGGTGGGATATGAGGGGGTTGATTTTTGGATCCTCACTGTGCCGGGCCTTCTGGTCCAGCTCTCCTCCTTTGCAGAGGTTGGGGGGCCCATAAGGGCTGGACAGACTGAGGCTGTTTCTCCTACCTTTCCTATAACTACCTTGTGACCCCAGCACACTCACCTCTTGAGTCCCTTACAGGGACAGTGGGGATCCACAGGTGGCCAAGGTCTGTGGGATGGTGGGCCCCCAGCTGGTCATAGTCACCTTCCGTCTGTTGCTGTGCCCACAGGGAGAAGAGGCTGCAGGCTGTGGGTGGCCCAGCCCGTGCCCGTGCCTTCTTCAGCGCACCTGTGGTCATCTTCCATGTGAACATCCTGTCCTACTTTGCCTTCCTCTGCCTCTTCGCCTATGTCCTCATGGTGGACTTCCAACCCACGCCCTCCTGCTGCGAGTGTCTCATCTACCTCTGGCTCTTCTCCCTGGTGTGCGAGGAGACACGGCAGGTGCGCACTGCCCCACCCTACCCTCCCGGGGTCCTTGGGGACTCCGGCCCCAAAGGGAAGTGACCCCCAGAACTGGGAGCTGCTGGCTCATTCACTTTCTCATGGTGGAGCCTCCACAAAGGGCCTGTCCCCACTGAGGCTCACCCAGGTCCATGGGAAGCTGGCAGGACTCCAGGCAGGGCGGGCACCCTCTCCTCCACAAGGAGCCTTTGTGATCGGCCTTCTGCTCTCCCTGACTCTCCCTCCCTGCACCCTACACCTCACGGCCATCACGTCTTCCTTAAAACCTGACCCTTTCATCCCCCAAATGGGGCACCCTCACCAGTGACCTCATGAGCTTCGTGACATCAGCCCCTCCAGCCCCTGTGGAGGTCATTGCAAAGTGTGGGGCCCCAAGACCATGTCAGGTCTGATCATTTGTGGAGAGACAGACTAACTGAGAGCTGTGACACTCAGCCATGGTTCATCCCAGCAAAAGTCTGCAGAGGCACATGGCTGTGTCCAGGACAGTGCTGACCAAGGACAGTGTTCAGCTATCCCTGCCCCATGGAGGCATGGCAGTGCTCGATTCTCTAAGCAAGATTGCGTGACCATACTCACAGGCCCCTGTCACCCAGGGAAGCTCCTGAGAGCCTTGGGGCCCATGGATTTTATTGGGGGTCAGTCACATAGAATGGTTGGCCCTTTTGGCTGATCTTGGTCTCCAGCCCTCCAGAGGTCAAGCTGATCCTGTATGGCTGGAGTCCCCCCAGCCCAGATTATGCTTCTGCACCACCTGGACTGGCCCAAGCCCACAGATAAATGAGACACTCCTGCCAGGCAGGAGGTACCAAGGTTCCAAGTGACCTCCCAGAACAGCCTGACTGCTCTTTGGGCAGGCTGACCCCTCACAGTGGGGTTCCCACTGCATCTCTGTGGTGGCTATGGTGAATGTGAACCAGGCTGAAGGACCCCTCAAGGTGGGGCCCACTGGGAGATAGCCCTGGTTAGAAAGCCAGCTTATACTGGGTGAATTGCCTATGTGTTGGGTGTGGGGATTCTGAGTGAGCACCGAGCCCCTCCAGGAAGGGGTTGGCAGGGACTGAGAGCAGTGCTGTGACCCTGGTTCTGCCTCTTCTCAGACCTCCTACAGTCAGACCCTGTCCGTAAGGGGCCAAAAGCCTCCTTGTTCTCTGAGTTTAGCCTCATGGTGGCAGCCCAGGACACAGAGGATTTGGCCTTCTCCTTGAGTCTGTACCATGGTCCTTGGAAGGAACCTGATTGGTCCTGCAGGTCACCTGTTCCCCTACCCAGCTGCTGGGTTCAGGAGCTTAGTATTGGAGGAGAGTGGCAGGCAGGCCACCCAGGGGCCCCTCCAGGACCCCTCCTCTGAGGGCTGCCTCAGGAAGCAGGCACAGTTCCTGTCAGAGCAGATTCCTGTGGGAGGCAGCTGGTGCCTGATATCAAGGAGGGGCATCTTTGCACAATGTACACACGTGTGTACACACATACATGTACTCACACTCATGCACACACAGGCACACGTGCACTCTCGTGCACACAAATACACCCTCATGCACACGCACGCACGTGTATGCTTGTATGTGCACACACATACGCATGTGTGGTTTTTGGGTGGGGTCACTGGGTCACAGGGAGAGCTCTGAAGGGCGCTGGAACCTGGTGAGAACTCATGGCCGGCACTACTCCACACTGTTCCTGGGCTTATGGAGCAATGGGGTCCATCCTGTCCCTCTCCCCAGTCCCCAAGTCTGTCCCCAAGAGAAAGGCGCTGGTTTGATGATAATAAGACCATCAGCCTCCCTGACGCCCGCCCTGACGCCTGTCTCCTCAAGTAGCTCTTCTACGACCCTGATGAGTGTGGGCTGATGAAGATGGCGTCTCTGTACTTCAGCGACTTCTGGAACAAGCTGGACGTTGGTGCCATCCTGCTCTTCATAGCTGGACTGACATGCCGGTAAGTGGCCAGGAATGCCCTCTGCTTTCTCCCTGCTTGGCACCGTGTCCCAGGACGGGGTAGGGAGCTGGGGCCACCCTGGACAATGAGCCCTGATTGTCGTCTGTCCATGGGTGCTGTGACGACTGTGACCTTGCCTGCCCTTGAGGTTGTTCAAGGAGCAGGGTTAGGATCCGTGTGACTGTGACTACTGCTTGTCCACCTTAGGGTCACTGCCCACGTGCAAGGGCCACCAACCATAATCAGTTGTTCTCGCTTCCCAGATACCTAATGTCCCTTTTGCTCCCCTCCCTTCTGGGTCATCCTGCTATGACAGCCTTGCAAGTGTCTGCAAGGCTACGTGCCTCCAGTGGCCACGCTTGGGTTGGGGCTGGGCTCTGGAAGCTGTGAGGCCACCTGGTGAGCAGAACCTGAGGCTGTGTCTCTGCCCTGCCCGACTACCAGGCTCATCCCGGCGACACTGTACCCCGGGCGCGTTATCCTCTCTCTGGACTTCATCATTTTCTGTCTCCGGCTGATGCACATTTTCACTGTCAGCAAGACGCTGGGGCCCAAGATCATCATCGTGAAGCGGATGGTAAGAGGACAAGGGGCAGCCATGATGGACCTGGGGCCACGGCCAGTGTGAGTGAGGCAGGCCAGGGCTGGAGCTCAACGGAGGTTCCCATCTTATGTCCCTGCCTTGCCTCAGGGCTCCCGAACGCCCCTCATACCCTTGCCTGTCTGTCACGTCTCCCTGGAACCTTCCCTGGTTCCCTTCTGACCTCCACAGTAGGTGCCTGAGCTCTGCTCAGCTGGAGGCCTTTCCTCTTTGGGTCACGGTTATCTGACCCCCTCTTGGACCTCAGGGAGCACCCCGCAAGGGCGTCCTCACACTCTGTGAAGTTATGGGGAGGCCCAGGACTGCTCTCCAGGAGCCCTGGCTTCCTGTGTTCGTGCTGTGGGAGATGATGGTCTCCCACTCTGCTGGGCAAGAGGGTGTTGGGTCAGAGAGGGTGCAGTCCTGGTGTCTTGCTCTCTGCAGATGAAGGACGTCTTCTTCTTCCTCTTCCTCTTGGCCGTGTGGGTGGTGTCCTTTGGGGTGGCAAAGCAGGCCATCCTCATCCACAACGAGAACCGGGTGGACTGGATCTTCCGAGGGGTCGTCTACCACTCATATCTCACCATCTTTGGGCAGATCCCGGCCTACATTGATGGTAGGAGTTGGGACGTGGGCCAGGCTGGGAGTGTCTGAGGGGTGAGGCCAGGGAGGGGAGAGAGACAGGGAAGGGGAGGCCCCTAGGATGCTCGGCTGACAGCCCCCAGCATTAAATAGACAGAAATAACTCCCTGTCTCTGATGGAGAGAGCAGTTTGCAGAGTGCATTAAAAAAATAGCATCCTTGAAATATAAGCAACATGTCACAAGGTCAGCAGCACAAAGTGCACACATCACAGAAGCTAGTTTTAGAGCGTTTGCATCACCCCCCAAAAGACCCCCCTCAGCAGTCACAGCTCCCCTCATCCCTCAGTTGGAAGCACCTGCTCGTCTATTCTCTGCCGATCCACATTTGCGTTTCCTAGACGTTTTGTAGAAGTCAGATCTTGCACCATGGGGTCTTTTGTACCTGGCTTCTTTCACTGACCATGTTTTCAAGGTTCATCCGGATTGTAGCGTGTGTCAGTGCTGCCTTCTTTTTATTAAAAAATAATATTCCACTGCATGGAAAGACCACATCTTACTTACTGTTCCTAAGATGCTGAACATTTTTTTGCTACTATGGGTAATGTTGCTGTGAACAGTCATTTGTTAGTTTTTGTGTGGGGTTTGAGCTGAGGGCTTTGGTCTCTACTACTTGAGCCACAGCTCAACGCATGTGTTCAGCTTTTTGTGGGACCACCAGACTGTTTTCCACAGTGGCTGCACCCTTTTACATCCCCTCTGGCAATGTCTGAGGGTTCCAATTTTTCCACATTCTGTAATATTGTTAGTCTGTTTTTAAAATTATTATTAGTATAGCTATCATAGTGGGTGTGAAATGGTATTTCATTGCAGTTTTGATTTGCATTTTTTTCTTGCAGTGCTGGGAATCGAACCCAGAACCTTGCACCTACTAGGCAAGCGCTTTGCCACTGAGCTACATTCCAGCCTTGATTTGCATTCTCTGATGACTTGAGCATCTTTTCGTGGGCTCACTGGGGCATTTGCATATCTTTTTTGGAGAAATGTCTATCCTTTAGCCACTTCCCTCTCTGGTTAATGTTATTTTTTAAATTATTATTGAGTTGTAATAATTATTACATTAAGATACCAGGCTCTTATCACATAAATGATTTGGAAGTATTTTCTGTCATTACACGGGCTGTCTTTTCACTGATGAGAAACTCTCTTCGAAGCACAGTTTTTAATTTCAATGAAGAGCACCTATCAATCATTTATAAAAACACCATTGTGATTTTGGTGTCATAGCTAAGAGACCATAGTTTAACCCAAGGCCACAGATTTTTCTTCTAAGAGTTTATAGCTTTAGTTCCTTCTTTTGGCCTTTGACCTGTTCAGATTAATTTTTGTACATAGTGTGAGATGGAGGTCATTCTTCTACATGTGGATATCAGTTTTTCCAGCGTTATTTGTTGACAAGACTTCTTTCTCGTTGAATTTCTCGGCATCTTTGTGAAACTGGACCGGCCATTAATGTAAGAGCTTATTTCTAGACCTTCAGTTCTGTTCCATCGGGGTGTCTGTCTAGCCACACCAGTACCTCACTGCCTTGGTGATTTCAGCTTCACGGTGATCTGGAAAGACTGAGTACTCCAGCTTGTTCCTCTTTCCAGATTGCTTTGACCTCTAGCTGGACACTTCGAACCCTCATGAATTTTGGGGCAGTTTATTGATTTCTCCAAAATAGACATCTGGAATTTTCATTTTTTTAGATCTTTATCTTGATTTTTAAAATAATTTTTAGCCTATGGGTCTCACACTTCTATTATTACACTTATTCCCAAGTATTTTATTCTTTCCATGCAGTGTTAATCTTTTTTTTTTTAAATCCATTCCCATCAAATTGAGCTCTCTGAGGTTGGGACCTGTGTCCCCCATATACTGTGGCCTTGGGAAGTGGGCAGGCGGAGACGGCTGGATCCTGGGTGTGCACACGTGCCAGCCTGGGGGGCAGCTCTGGCTCTGGGCTTCCATCCATAGCCCCACTTCCTGCCTGAGGAAGCTGCCGAGTGCACACAGGTGCCTTGTACCGAGCTGTGTCTGGGCCTGAGCTGACAGCCGAGCTCCCCAGTGTACTGGCATCCATGCCGTGGAGGTCCTCAGTGGTGACCGATGGCCAGGGTCCCTTCCTGACAGCCCCCATGACTGCACTGTTGTCTCTGCTTGCCCACCCCCACTCCCAACTCCAGGCGTGAATTTCAACATGGACCAGTGCAGCCCCAACGGCACGGACCCCTACAAGCCCAAGTGCCCCGAGAGTGACGAGACGCGGCAGGTGCCTGCTTTCCCCCAGTGGTTGACGGTCCTCCTTCTCTGCCTCTACCTGCTCTTCACCAACATCCTGCTGCTCAACCTCCTCATCGCCATGTTCAAGTGAGCACCGTGGTGTGGGCTGGCGTGTGCAGGGACAGGTGGGAGGGGCTGCTGATGCAGTCGTGAGCCTGGGACCCAGGGTGACCGTCCCATGGAGGTGCACAGGACATCCTGGGGCAAATGGGGGTGGCCAGTCCTCCCTAGTCACTGCTATGTCTCTTGAATCAGCATGTTGGCCTGTCCGTCACTGCTCCTGGGGGACCATGGTGCCACACATACCCTGCTCACCTGTGGTGCCTATTAGGGTTGTTAGTGTGGCTCTCACTGTTTCGGTGGCTGTAAGCATGTGGCCAGGTAGAGTGTGCCCATCACTGTGCCCAGGGCCATACTGTGGTCCCTGGCTGCTCAGGTCTGTCCTCCCACAGCCCCTGAGAGTTCTGCCTGTGTCCCCCGTCATGGGCATGATCCTGCTGCCCCCACTGTCCCCCACTGTCCATACCAAGCTTGGCTTCTTTTAGGCTCACTTCCCTGGAGTCTGGTCTGTCTCTGTGTGGCTGGTGTGTGGCTCTCCCACACTGCTAGGGCTTAGCCGTCCATATGTCTCTATGTTTTGCTAGTCTTCTGCCAGATTTGCACTCCTGTGTCCACCCAGCTCCTGATCATTTGTCAGTTGTGTATGGATAGCACTGAGGGTCCCAACAGAATGAATGTGGCTTGTCCCTATAAAGGGACCCACCAAAGATGGCCACACCCTAATTTGAAGAGCTGTGGCGATGGGGCCTGAAAGGCAAAAGGACCTATGCAAATGTTAGATCTTCACCTGATCCTGGATTAAAGATGATTCTGGATTACCCGGTAAGTCTTAACATTAGGCCCTAATAAGAGGGAGGCATGAGGGTGAGCGTCAGAGATGTGAGGATGGAAGTGGAGTTTGGAGGTGTGGGGCCTCAGGTCTCAGCACACAAGTGCTTCTGAAGGTGAAAAACGCAAGGAGACAAAGCATCTCCCGAGCCTCCAGGAGGAACCAACCCGAGGCACCACGTGTCAGCCTGGAGAGAATTGTGACCTCCAGAACTCAGGGAATAAATCGATTGCTTTAAAACATTAAATTTGTGGTGATTTACAGCCATAGGACACTAATCCAGTAGTTGTCTCTTCTCTCTGGAAAATCCTTGGTACTTTGAAACATTAATCTTATTAGAACTTTTAGAATATTTGCTTTTTTTTTTTTTCTTTTTGCTTGTGAAACAAAAAAGCACAATAGATATCTGTCCACTGGCCCCGGGTGGACATTGTCACCTTGGGCCTCAGGAGCTCCCTCAAGTGTCAGGTCAGCTGTGGTAGCCAGTGGGCCCAGGCTGTGAGGGTCATCACACTTCTGCAGGTTTCAAGCTCAGTGTTCTTTGAAACACAGAACACTGGGGCTCTCATGTAAGAGGCAGCAAAAAGAGAAAAGAAAAAAAACCCAGGGAAGCTGCCTACAAAGGATGAGAGCACTGAAGCTGGGGGGTCCACCAGGTCCAGCAGCCCCATGCCAGCTCCAAGGGCTTCGTGGCCCAATCTTGGCCCTCACAGTGCACAGCTCAGCCATGGAGGACCCAATCTGCCCACAGTGTCCCCATCATTCAGAAAACCCTTCAGACCAGTGACCTTTGAAAGTCCTTCCATTCCTGGAGTTGTTATGTCCGACTCCTCCCTCTATTCATCAGCTGAGTCCTGGGCTCCTCTTTTGTTTCAATGTGCCCTGAATGTTGAGAGCCACATGTGCTGGCACTGAGGTCTGGAGGCCTGGTGACATGCAGGACCTGTCCCTGGAGGCAGGGACAGCTAGTGAGGCTGCGTGCAGCAGTCCTGACCAGGCTCTTCCTCGTGCCCTCGGCTCTGTTGGGCCCATCCACAAGACACCTGAGACACCAGGACCAGCAGATAAGCTCCTCCGTGTTCAATACCAGACAGTCTGTCACCCACAAATGTCCACTTTCCATTCCTTGACAAGGCTTCTAAAATCTAAAATCCATGTGACTTTTCTATTTTCTCACCTTGGCTCCCAGGATGCTGGAATCCTGAAGCTTGCAGTCTACCCTTTGTGTCTGGGATTGCCTCCTGAATGGCCTGCTTCTGCTGTCCCTGGGGCATCTGCAGGACACTTGGCCATGGGAGCCATTTCTTGCAAGCATACTGATGCATGTGTCCCTCTGTGTCCTACCAGCTACACATTCCAGGAGGTCCAGGAGCACACAGACCAGATCTGGAAGTTTCAGCGCCATGACCTGATCGAGGAATACCATGGCCGGCCCCCCGCCCCACCCCCCTTCATCCTTCTCAGCCATCTGCAGCTCCTGATCAAGAGGGTGGTCCTGAAGATCCCAGCTAAGCGGCACAGGCAGCTCAGTGAGCCCCTTCCTTGTCCTGGATTGTGGTCCTGGCTATCCTGGGATGCAGATGGGGATGTAGGGTGGGTGCACAGCTCCTTCTAGAACCTTGGATGCTCAGCAAGCACACTAACCACTCAGGATGCTGATCTCCCACTTATGTGAGCCCAGAAGCCCCTGGACTCGGGTGAGGGGCAGGACCCCTCCTGCAGGGCCTGGGGGGCTCAGGGTATCAGGAGGAGTTCAGATCCCTGCTGACCCTGTCCCACCCAACAGAGAACAAGCTGGAGAAGAATGAGGAGGCAGCCCTCCTGTCCTGGGAGATCTACCTGAAGGAGAACTACCTGCAGAACCAGCAGTACCAGCACCACCAGCGGCCAGAGCAGAAGATTCAAGACATTAGTGAGAAGTATGGAGGCCCCACAGCCCTAGGGGGGAGGGGAACCTCTGGGCCATGCCCTGTGTCTCCACAGGCACCATAAGTGCAGTCCCACCTGAGGAGGCCCAGGCTTTTCCCTTGGGAGGGAAAACTGGATGTCACTGTGCCCAGACTCTAGCAAACAAGGCATTTGTGCTTGGGTCATCCAGAATGGGAGGTAGAGGGACTTTGACCATCAGCTAGCTCATTGAGGTCCTTTCCATTGTCACTGTCATCATCACCATTATTATCACCATGGTCCCCTGCAGTTCCACAGGCCCGTGTCCCACAGCTGACCCATTGGGTCCCTCAGGTGCACAGGGTAGGCTGGAGGCTGCTGGGGGAGCCTTAGTGAGTGGGAGGAAAGGCTGGTCCCCACAGGAGCCAGCTTGGAGGAGGTGGGGGAGGATGCACACTGCAGAGCTCAGGATTGTTCTGAGGGTGGCTTTCCTGTGAACTTTAGTGCATGGTCTTGTTTTAGCTTCTTGGGACCTTCAAGCCCATTCTCAGAGCTCCAGTCATATCAGCACTTTAAATTCTCCCTGCCTGCTTCTTTCCAGGGCGCGAGGTCAGTGTTGGGGAAAGATCTCTCTACCCCCAGACCCTCAGCCCTGGTAGGTGACAGCAGGGCTTGACTGCCCAGCAGCAAGCAGCATGAAGATCTGGCCATAGGTCCCATTGTCAGTGTGTCTCACTGCAACCAAGCTCTGGCTGTGTCTGGTCCCAGGCTCCTCATCAAGTGGGGGGGGGGAGGAAGGGGACACAGTGACACTTAGTTAAGGTGAGGTTCCTGTAGGTGACAGAAAGAGGTGGCAAAGATGGTGAGGAGAGATGGTGATAATGGCAGCAAGGGTGGCGATGCCTGGTGGTGATGGTGACAGTGATTGTGATGATGAAGGGTTGGCACAGTGACTCAAGTGGTAGAGCACCTGCTTATTGAGCGTGAGGGCCTGAGTTCAAGCCCCATTACTGCCAAAAACAAACAAACAAACAAACAAACAAACCCATGAAGTATGATTGTGATGTGGTGATGATGGTGGTGGTGGTGATGATGGTGGTGATGGAGATAATGACGGGGATCATAGTAATGATGGTGGAGGTGATGATGTTGGGGATGGTGGTGGCGATGATGTTGGGGATGGTGGAGGTGA